CAACAACAACAACAACAACAACAACAACAACAACAACAACAACAACAGCAGCAGCAGCAGCAGCAGCAGCAGCAGCAGCAGCAGCAGCAGCAGCAGCAGCAGGCAGCAGCAGCAGCAGCAGCAGCAGCAGCAGCAGCAGCAGCAACAACAACAACAACAACACATTGCAACGGATAAATAAGGTGCAGCAAGCATCAAATCATGCAGAGCTGCGCAAATCATTGATTCGCTTTGGTCTGTGGCTCCTCCATCAGCTGGGTGGTTTTCATTGCGTCATTTCTATCTTGATTCCTGACACCTTCCCAATGTACGTAGACCTGAGCCAATCCTAAAACACAGTGCGCACATGCACACGACATAAGCGCATGTTGAATGCCACTTGTGCGCCAACTCAGTCTCCTACCAGTTGACAGAGGACTCCTTGGCTTCACCATAGAAACCGAAAGTAGCAATGTGACATGTCAATCTACTATCTATCCGAGTAACATACAAATATGCAACTCAATATGTTAAATGCATCTCATGGGATTACAGGTTCGCAGTTGCTGATATACATCTCGTGCTACAGGAAAGCAGCTGGCGCAAAAAACGATCATGGTTTCTCAGCTCAGCCAGCCGTCCCGAGGCCGAGGACGTTCCTGCGAGACGCTTTTTGGCAAAGCAAAATGACGGTCTCCGCTTTGGAAAAAGACATGGGTCTGGGGAAGGTATGCCACCAGCCGTCGAGTGTGTTCCACAAACCCTTTGCGACGTATTGAAGACCCTTGCTGGGATTGGCAGAAAGGGATCCCAAGTGGAAAACTTCCGTTTTGGATGTTTCCCCCAAAACTAAATCACTTGGATCGCCAGTTGCTGCTTTTTTCCATCCACCTTGCCCCAAAAACCAGCAATAGTGACTGAAGAAAGCAGCAACTTCGCTATCTAGGCATCCCGCCAATTTGGAGAAACAATCATACACAACAGTTTGGGCACGTGCTGCATGCGTAGAGGCTTGGCTTGCCTCGATTCCCCGATGGGGATTCCCCCAATTGAGCTATCGTCATCTGCAAGCGTAGGCAAGGATCACCCTTGTTGGCATGTGCATGTTCCGGCGCATATGCTTGAAATCAACGGACACTCAAGAGTTTCAGGGATGTTTGGGCCCAATGCCAATTTGTTCCTTTCGCTCGGTACACAGGCAATTGCAAGAAAGAGGCAACGTCACATTGGCAAAGTACTACCTGGAGTTCCATGACCCTCAAAAAATGGGTCAATGACCCCATTATTTTGCGTAATGACCCCATTTCTTAAGGGTAATGGAGACTCCAGGTACAATGGGATTTGTGGACTTAGCGATTGTCCGAGTATGAATGTGAGGGCTTGGAAAGCGATGCCGCCCATTCGATCCTGGCCACTCTAGAATCCACTGGATGTTGGCGACAGGTCCAGAGGAATCCAAGCCTTGGGAAGACGATCTCCCGGGAGCTGGCAAACAGTTTTGACTTTGCAGGGCCGAAGACCAATCCAGCTATTTTCCCCCAAAAGACGCCTTGCACCAATCGACAGCCTTTAGAAGGTGTCCGGAGGGGACAGTGCCCGAGTGGAAAGGTGACAAGACTTGTGCCTGAGGAAAGTGGCGATATCTTGCAGGGACCTCGGCATCAGAGATCTTTTGTCCGTATATCCTGGGGGCAGCGGACACTTGCAACAGACACGCTGGAAGATATATTGGTTGGTGGCAGGTCCAAACGGTCCACGCCCCGGAGATTTGCTGAGTTTCTGTTTTTGATCGGCGGCTGCAGTCAGGTAGTCGAGTGTCAAAAGGTCATGAGACGCTTCTGAACAGCAAGCTTTGTCTCGGTCTAGTTGCTGCTGCAGCCGTCCAAAGCGGTGCGGGATTCCTAAATTTACAGATTCCTGCATGATGCGCCAAAGCAGGGATGGATCAACGAGGGATAAAGAGTTCGAGGGCTTTCAAGTTCTTTGGGCCAGAGGCCAGAGGGGTCAGTGCATCAGGTCGCCATGTCGCGCAGTTGCGACACTCGGCATGCCGATCCCAAAGCGATGCAGATGCCAGCTTGAGCAAGGCAAAACACAGGAACAACCAGGCCATCGAATGAGTTGTGCGTGACATTACTCAGACGGGCGGTTCATGCGAGATGTCTTCGAACATGAATAAACCGCTTTTGTTTTGCACGCCTCGGAATCGACGCTGTTGGTTCACCTCACTGCTTAATCCACATCTTCAGGCATCGTCATCACTTGTCAAAAATGGGCTGCCCGTTGGCTACGTTTAGAGACCGAAAGTTGAACCAATTCTGCACGGTAGTTCTTGTAAGAGAAAGAGCGAGCCGTGCTTTGATGGAGCCTTTGCTGTTTTGTCTTTGCTCGTTTTGAGGGGATAGCTATTGGCACAAACTCCGGCCTGCGGAGCATGAGTGCAGATTCCCAACCGTGAACTTGTTTCCACCTGCTCAAGATCAAACTTGGTTCGATGGTTGGCTGCGAGAAATGGTCAGGAAGATGTGTGATTTATTGGCAACTCTAACAATATCTTGAAGCAGCTAAGACCCTTCAGCGAGATCAACCCCCCTCATTGTCAAGGTTATTTGTAAGCAGGCACATGTTGAACAATCAAGATGCTTCCCCGCGCGTCCTTGCCGTAATAAATGAGTCATCGATGTTTACATAGCAGCTATAGATACAACCGCAACATATTATCGTTGTTTTTGTCCTGATGTTGTTGCATCCATTTTCCGCACCCTGGTTGCCATTTGTGTTCATGTATCGTATACACATTTATATTCGGGTGTGTATTGTTTAAGTGGACCTCCCAAAATGGCGAGTTTCCTTTATGTTTCTCTTAAAGCCGGGCAAAACGGGGTTCCCTAAAAAAGACAGACCCAGTTGGCCCCATGTCGAGCTGGCTCAGGTCCTCTTGCTGCTGGCTGGGTGCTGAGCCTCCTTTTTTGTCGGGTCGACTGGGAGGAGTGCCCCATGTCAATATCTTCCATTTGCTGAAGTGAATCTTTCTTTGTTTCCCCGGCTTTAAAGGGTGGACATATTTCACATTTCCAAGGAACGTAAACATGTGGTTTCTCTTCAAACCAAGGGAAAGGGGCTTCCGAACAAACTTTTAATGGTCCATGATCAATCTGTGGATCGGGACATGGCGACTCACCAAAGTTCAGCCACGCAAACCAGCGGACACGAATGGCCCATGTTGGCACAAACACAGATACTTTGAGGAGTTTCAGGTTGCCCTTGCCGCCCCTTGCCTGGCCAGATCAGCCTGCACAGGTTCCTGGTTTTGACGCACGCAGACATTGTAGCTCGACTTGCTTTTTTCTCCCCGCCTTGGCTTGCACGTGGGTTTTGACCGAGCCATGTGTTGCAGACGTTTTCTCGCTAATTCGTGGTTTCACGGGTGCCCGGTTTTGGGATTAAAACAAATATCGCCAGCAAACAAACATCATCTCTAGAGTAATCCTGATTCCCTCTAGTTTTTTTTTGGTTCTCCTAGTTCCTTCTAGGCACCTCCCCAAGCCCTCTGGCACGGCCTGGCGACGCGGCACTCCGCGCACTCGCGCCACGTGGCTTAGGCGCGGCAGCAGCTGGACATCCGCGACGCCAAAGACGCCAAGCACCGGGAGAGCCCCCCCGTGGAGGCGCCGGGGTCGATCGGTGAGGCGATCCATTGTGGTTTTCTCCAGCGGCAGATGGGTCTTAGACCCCCCCAAAACATGGCTTCGGTTTGCCGCAAAAAGGGGGTGCCCTCGGAACAGCACACCCTCACATAGGTGAGGACATCCGCCTGATGAAAAGATGGGTTTTTGGGTAGATCGTGCCAGGCTTTGAGCTTGACTCCAAGGCATCAGGAGAAGCCTCTGCGCAAATTTGACGTTTTTGTGGAAAGAGCGAGCATGAAGGTCCCCTACTCAAAAATGTCTTTTGGTTTGATATTCCCGGTGTTGACAAGGATTTGGGAATTTGGGCTCACATATTTCAGCGTTTAGCACTCAGACAAACGGATGAGACAAACTCGGAGCAACCACATGCGAAGGAGCATTGGATCGAGGGAGGTTGCTAGTCGCCAGATGCTGTTGCGTTCCTTGCTGGCCATTTGACACCTTCCTGCGAAGAGAAAGGATTTTGGCAAGGCCATCCTTGAGTTTCCTCGAGGTCGGTTTGGTTTGGGCACTGGCCCTCGCATTGGCACATCGTATAGCATACAGTATATTCGGCGCATGCATGGACGAGCGTTGCTTCTTGTCGCAAGCCCATGGCTTCCTTCCAGATGGTGTAGGAGTCCAGCCCGCCATGTTGAGCTTCCTCTCAATCACCAGGTACTTGTGGTTGCCAACTGGCTTTCAGCAAAAGTGTCTACCATTTACGGAGAATTGGGTCCGTTGGAGAATAGGGTCCAGTACTTGTGCTTGGAGAATAGGGTCTCTTGTGCGTGTTTTCCGGTCGCCTAGCCGCGGATAGTGAAGCTGAATCGCTCACCTGGAATGGTCTAGAGTGGTGGTCTCCGAGCTCGATTGGGGAGGGAGGTAAGCTGCGTGCAGAATGCCAAGCGGATGTATAGAATCACCCGTGGCTGTTTGCAGATGTCCTGCGCCCCACCTCTTCTCTGAGGGTGGAGTAGTGGAGTACTCATCTCCTCTTAGTTTGCAGAGCGCTAAGGATTCCTGCTCCCCATTGCTTCTTCGGGGAGGCTTCTGTTTATGCTCTCAGACCCTTTCAGCGGTCTGCCCCTCGTCTCCTTGTGCTCCATCTTTGCTGTTTTTAGCCTCTCGGTTCAAGCCAGAAAAGACACACATGACCCACAAAGAGACGCCTGCGGCAGCAGACGACGCCCTACATGCGAAGTGTACCAAGTGGTTGAACTAGGAACGCCAGCTGGGCAACACAAGGTTCTAGGTATCTTTTCAAAGTTGGGCCTGATCATCTGGCGCGGTGCCACTGCAACCCTACATGCACCCTGCTTATTCTAGGGTCTTCTAAGGCTGGACCTGGCCATGGCGAAGATAACAGCACGGCTGCTCAGCGGCGATGTTTTGGCGGAGCTGACGGTTCGGCCTGACATGACGCTTGAGGAGCTGAAGCGGCGCCTGAAGAAGTTGCAGACATCGGGGGATGAGATCTCGCGCCAATTCGGCCCGGTCGATGTGGTTTTCCGGGGCCAGAAGCTCCGCAACGAAGATATGACGCTGAAGAAGGCTGGCTTGTCTCCAGGAGCAGAAGTTCAGGTCGTGTTCCAACCCATTGTGCCCGTGACCTGTTCCCACCAAGACGAAGCTGGCTGCGACGTGGATTCGTTGGTTGTGGTAAACATCCCGCAGGGAGTAAGGAAGATCCGGCCTGGAGCATTCCAGCGCTGCAGTTCATTGGTCAAGGTTATTATTCCCGATGGCGTTGTCGGCATTGGGAATAGTGCTTTCAGAGACTGCAGCTCACTGTCACGCTTGACCATGCCGAACTCTGTGATCAGCATTGAGCACGCGGCCTTCAACAACTGCAGCGCACTGAGAAGTTTGACTATCCCAGACAGCGTAGCCAGGATCGGGATGGGAGCTTTCAAAGGCTGCAGCTCGATGACACTGACCATCTCAGAACCTCTGGCCCGGCAGCTCTCTGGCTTTAACGACTGCTGGATCAACACGAAAGAGTGCCGCTGTTGGCAATGCGAAAGCCACTGGTTCGAGCAAGGGTGGCTTTGCCCTGCCAACAACTTGTGGCGTGCCCGATTTTAAGGTGCCCGCGGATCTCCGCGCAGGTGTTCTTCGACGCAGTCTGCTTCAGAGGTTCCAGCGAGAGCAAAGGGGCGATCAATGGAGAATGTAACATGTGCGAATCTTTGAAGAGCAGTACGAGGCGACTTAAGCACGTAGCAGGGCCTGAAATTTCACAGTACCCATTTGCCCGCAGGACGAGTTTGGTTGTATGAGAATCAAAAACATGACCCACCTGCCCGCAGGACGAGTTCGGTTGTATGAGAATCAAAAACATGGAGGTGGGCTGTCTTAGCTGAGGGGTGTTTCGGTGTTTCCTTGAAAACCCGCCTAAAGAGAATACCTAGATAGACAAGTTGCGAAACAGCTTTTTTCAGTCACTGTTGCGATCGGTTTGGGGGTTTTCAGTGCATGGGGGAAAAAAAAGGCGATCGCAACTGGCGATCCAGGTCGCCTCTAAAGCTTGGTCCCGAGGCTCGAACAGGCGGAAAATGGTTTTGCGGGGCGGAAAATGCCAGCGACATTGAAGGAGCCCACTTGGGTGTTCGGGCAAGCTAGTAAGTTGTTGGAAACCTACCCCCTATTTCAAATACCCGGCCCTTTTTTTAGGGTATGATGTTGACCCTCTACTAAAAAAAGAGGTATTTACCATGGAAACCCAGGTTTTTCAAAAATACCATAAAAAGAAGTGGGTGTTTGGAGTAGGGGGTAGGTTAAGTTGGGCCCCAGTGATTAGTAGGTGACCCAGGTGGCTAATCACTTGCTAACTTGACCACGATCATCCTTGTGAACCCCGATATCGTTTCCAAAATTGAGACCGGTCCGGGGTTGACTCGCGCAACCCAGTTGTCCACCTTGAGCTCGTCTTACCCATGATAAAGGCTCATGTTAAATCTGTGAAAAAGAGGAGTTTCGCCCAGAAAATAGTGAGCCAAGTCCCATGCCATGCAGGAAGCCGTGCACGAAGCCGTGCAGGTTGCCGCTTGGGCCCAGGCAGCGTGGGTCCGTGGGATATGGGGGCTTTGGCACTGCAACCGGCGGTACTGCGAGTGTTCCTTGCGGGTTTCCCAAGGTTTCCCACGTCCGTGGGTTTTGCTTGGGTTTCCACCTCGTTTGCCACGGTTTCTGAGTTCCCAAGTTTGTCTTCCGTTGGACCTGGCAAGCAAATATTCAGGGTCCACGATTTCAGGACGCGCTTGTGCCAGAACATGGCAGCCGCCACGCGACAAGATTGTTTTCTTTTTGGCCACTGGTATGGTGCCGGGAGGCACACGCTGTGCAAATGGCCTCGTTCCTGGGAGCACTTGCCGGGTTTGCTGGTTGAGGGTTCAACGGCTTTTGTGCGGCGAGTCATTCTCCGGGATCGCTAGGACGCCCTGGAAGAAGCAGCGACTTGCTGACAGGTTCCTTAAAAATGCATCAAGCGGGGATCGTCCTCGTGTAAGACACCGCCAGTACCTCATCCCAGAAAGTTTGGAGTTGACTCGGCTTTGGCAGCTGAGATATGTCGAATGTCAAAGATTGGATGGACGATTTGTCTTGAAGTCGGAAGGAACCTGGAAGGCCATCTTTGGGAGTCACCTGCATTTGGACACGGAACAGTCAACCTCGTCGGACGCACCAGCCAGTTTGTCGGCGAGAGTCCAATTCAAGGCTTGGCAGCGAAAGCGGACCTTTGGACCGTTCAGAATTCCCGGATGGATCCGCCTTTGGCATCTGTGCTCGTTTGAGTGTACCCTTCTTGGGATTGGCTAGGGAACCCATTTCGCCGTTCCCCCCATGCTCGAGCTTGAACCTTTAAGTTGTGCAGCCATTGACTGCACTTTGGAAGAAATAGACAAGATCACCTAAACCCCACAGGGTTGTAGCCCCAACTGTTTTTATGGGGTAACCCTTAAAGCCTGAAAACCATGGGTTAGATAGCCCAAAAACTTAGGGGGCGAATTCCACTTCTCTTTTTGACGGTTAGTAATCCTCAAAACCTGAACAGCCCCAACATGGTTGGGGTGAATTCCCCTTTTTCTACCGGGCAGTTCGAGGGTCCGACCGCCTTAAGACAGGTGGAGACACGGCTCGCCAGGGCTGTTAGCTTGGCCCGGGGGCCCAAGAGATGCAGAAGGTTCACGCATCGTTTCCAGCCCCGTCTTTGGTCCTTTGGGTTTTGCCCATCCCTTTTCAATCATCCCTGGTTTCCTTTAAGGGGACCAAAGCCTGGGTTCATTCCCACATTCCTTACAGCTTTGTGGCATTCCTTTAATCGCCAGGTTTTGAGACCCCCAAAAAGGGTTTCAGGTGACTCTTTGGTTTGGAATGGTGGTGTCCTTTTCTTGCTGCGAGAGATGCAGAGACAGAGAAATGGAATGGCCCTTTTCAAACTTCTTTTACGGGTTCCATTGAGGGGACCCCTGGGTTCATTCCCGCATATTTACTGAGCACCAGCAAATGTTGTTTTTCCTTACCCAAAGGGTTGCACAGCAACACGGAGGGCACCGCGAATTTCCGGCCAACCATCATGGAACAAAGATAACCTGGGCAAACCTGTCCAGCACCCCCCCCCCCTCCCAACATTTCCCACGTCCAAAATCTCAAGCGCTGTCCAAAAGGTTGCGCCTGGACTCTCAAGCTATCCATACAAAAAAGGGAATTCACCCCACAAATTTGGGTTGCCACCGCCGATTTTATTTTTATGGGGTGGGTTTTGCAGGTTCAGGTGTGTGTTCAAGTGTTTCTGTCTCTGTTTTGTCTTCACCCACCATTTCTTTTTGCGCATGTCCAAAATCCTAAGTGCTGTCCCAAAACCCCGTGTTGCCTTCTTTTTCCCGCGTTTTTTCTCCCCGACGCCCCGAGCCGGTGTTTTTGTTTTGGTTCCCTTCGTTGGGTTTGGAGGACCTGGCAGACAGCCCGGCCCCCGCGGAGCTGCGGAAGCGGGCGCTGGTGACCTTCAACGCTCGGGCCGGGGGCGCCCGGACGCGGGTTTCGCCTCGGGGCTCGAGACCAGGGTGTTGGAGGGAGGCGCGGCTTCCGTTTTGGGGGGTCCGTTCAAAAACAGAGAGACACCCATATCCATTTTTGATTTTTTTGAGGGGTCCGTGTGCTGAAATGAATATATTTGTTGTTTTCGCCCTGTTGGTTTTAATGGGAAATCTATCAGTATTGGACATGATTTTATGTTTGCCAGGGGGCTTGAGCAAAAGGAGAGAGAAATTCCTTGGCCTCCTCCAAAAGGAATTTTGTTTTTTTAGGTTGGGCAGAGCGTAGGATGGGATGCATGCATGCATGGATGGATGGATGGATGGATGGATGGATGGACGGATGGACGGATGGACGGATGATGGATGAAGCGACCTGCAGGGCTCTGCGGCCGATGGAACCCGTCCCTCCCACCATCGCCCCAAAGCACAGGCAGGGCAGAGCATACTTTTGGAGTCAGCCCAGTTGTGGGCCAAGTTTGAGGTGACTGCAAATGGATTCAAATCTCCCGCAGTCCCGGGCGGCTGCTTGGAAATGTATTGAAGGACACCGGGTGGAACTGGGCAATTAGCTGCGCCCCAAACACGGCTTGAGGGAGGGCAGGGGGAAGGGGGTTTGGCAGAATTTTGAGGTCTATCTTTGCAACCTCCTTCTTTGGGCATGTTGAAAACAAGAGGAGACTGCCCCTTTGGGGGGGTGGGGGTTCCCTTCATAGACTTAGAGACTTGTTTTTCCAAGGACCCAATACCTCCAACGAAGGGGGCTGCAAGGTGCACATGAAATGCCATAAAATGCCCAATGTTCCTTTCGTTTGGGCCAACTCCTGGCGGCGAGCATGGTATGGTCGCGCCAACATTGACTTTCTCAGAGCCTCCGATTTCTCCCCAAATAAAATGAGCCAGTGTGATGGAGCCAGGGCCAACACGAACATGGCAGCTTTGATGCCATTGGTTTTGTTCATGATCAAGCGATCCTAGAGAGGTGCAGCTTTTGTGGACAGGCATTTGAGCCTGTTATGATATGTTTCACCTGGGAGAGGCACCCTGATCATTTGCCAGCTGCTACTGAAAGCAAGCAAGGTCAAGTTGCAGTGGTCGCTTTTGTGCCCTGGATTGCCTGTTGATACGGGTCCAAGAGGACACCTTGGCAAGGGAAGACTGAGGGAAAACCCGGATCGCGATTGAGTGGCCACATATCAACTTGTATTGTTTGGGCAAAAGCTGAGGTAGAACCAAACGGCCTTCCCACAGACAGGTGAAAGGCGGCCGGTGCTGCGATGCGGCCACGCAGACAGCGCCGGCCATCACGCTGTCCAAGATGTACGGAGGCGCCTCGTAGCCCGCCTCGTGCATGCTCAAACTACTTGTGCCCTTAAACATAGGATGTTGCCTCAAAACTATGGGGTGATTTTGCATGTTCGAGGGTTTGAGGATTTCGAGCCCTCAAAATGGCGACTCTAAGCACCCAAAGGCCTGCGGTATGAAGACAGTATTCAGGCCCAGCACACTTCAGGAAGTAAACAAATGTGTGTTGGTTGCCTTGCCCTGCCAGCCAGACGCTGCTGCCGGGGGGTGGTGCTGGGATGCGGAACTCAGCATCTCCAAGAGTCGAAGACCTTTGGCCCAGGAGGCTTCTTTTGTATTTCCGCTTGCTGATTCATCACTATAGTGCGTGCTGCGAACCACTTTTTTTGTGGTGTTGTTTTCTTGATGTCGACCTTAGCGTTGTGTTTTTCTTCTTTTTTTGTTGTTGGTACTCTGGAGCGGTCTTCTTTTATTGGGATGGCCCGTCGCAGGCTTGCCTCAGGCTTTCAGGAGCAAATGGACAACGGCCTAGAAGCCCAGAAATTTACCATGGGGCGCACTGGGGCCCTATGGAAACAACACATGTCCGACAAAACCTGGCACGCGAAGGGGCCCCTTATTTCTGCGTCGATTGGGTGCAGTTTTTCTCAAACCACAGGGGTAGCCCGATTTTGAGAAGGCACCTGAAAATACAGGTTTTTCGTACTTCTTTTATGCCGGTTTTGTACGGGTTTCAGGAAGCAAAGCGAGGTTCTTCAACCGAAAACCTGGTTTTCGACAAGTAGCAGGGGTAAAACCCAGTTTGGCTGCCCACCCCGCTTTCTTGTGTGAGGTTCTTCGAGTAGCAGGGTTGGGTGCAACCGCTCTGAGGGGAGTCACAATATGGGATGTATTCATCCTGAGCTCCCATTTAGCTGGAAGCACCGAACGTATTTCTTCGGCCGCAGGCATCGTGCCCCACTACGTCCAGCCTTGCGCTTGGGGGGCCTTGCCTTGCGATTTCTCGGCCTTTGGTGTGGTGTGTGTGTGTGTGTGTGTGTGCGTGGGTGGGTGGGTGGGGGGGTGGGCTGGTGACCCTTTTATCCACTGGAAGTGGACGTGGGCCTGTCCCGGATGGCACCCGCCCACGCCGCACCCACTGTTTTGCCACAGTGCTGGGCCCTTAAAAAAGAAAGAAAAAGAGAAGACCCCAAGATCAGCCTTTCAGTGGACCATGGGTTTGCGGTAAGAGATGGGATCTAAAGATTTGGAGGCCACAGCACGCCTCTGATGTCTTGCAAACAGAGCATTGCCCATGGAGAGAATTTGTCTGGAAGGCTGCCTGCAAGGCTGAGTAGCATGTCTAAATCCTGAGAAGCGAGGGTGAAGCAGGTTGCCGGTTGGTGCTTGAGGGCAGGACTGCCATGAATCTCAGCTTGTGAGAGCATCGCCATGATGCTGAACAGTGTTCCCTCGAAAGCTTGCAGTTTTGCTGGTGGGTGCCAATGAAAATTGCAAAGCTATGCAGACCGCGACCTTACTGGTGCAGGTTCTTTTCACACGGATCCCTAGTCGGTTTCAAACTGCAATGGACTCGGACTCTAGCAGTCAATGACACTCAACCCAACAAGGAAGCTGTACATCTTGGTGGCTCCCAGCTTCAGTGGGGTTCCACTAAAAGTTTAAACGTTTAGCGGGGAATCTGAGGACAGCCCAGATACTTTGTTTCGATCATTGAGCAGTGGGTATATAAGTCCGGATTCAGTCCATTGACGTCCGGGCCCACGCACTTCGATGTTCGGTGACTCCGCTGGTACCGGGAAGGCTGACTCGCCCTTGGCGAGTCGGACCAATTTTTTGATCGAAAGCATGGGATGGATTGGATCCACCGGACCACCCCACAAAAGCCTCTCCTCAAGAGGTCGAAACAGGGAGTCTCCATCTGTGGCAGCTGACTGCCTAAATGTCCCCTTTTTGGTGGATTTTTGAACATAGGTGAGCTTCCCTTGGCCGGCCATACATTGCACAAGCCACCTTTTTTCACACTTTCTTAGGGGCAAATCAAACAAAAATGTTTGACCCACCTCCAACCATTGTTTTGTCTCTCCTTTTTTTGGGGGGAGGGGGGGGGATGTTATTTTTGTTCTTTCAAACTCCAGCTCCAACCAGGTCCGGATCGAAGGCCCGGATCGACCCGGATCGGTCGCCCGTGAGACGAAGCTCCGAGCCGAGGCGGGAGCTGGCGCGGCTGCGGCAGGAGAACCAGCTGCTGCGGTACCGCATCGCCTCGCTGGCCTTGAGCTGAGCCTGCGAGCGATCCGGACCGTCGGATGCGGAGGTCGAGGGGTCGGAGGTCGAGGGGTGGCTTAGCTTCCCGATGTCCCACAGGGAATACACTGCACATCAACCCCATCATTTTTGGCACATACACCCCTAGGAGGCGAGGTTCAGAAGGCACTGTCTGATTAGGATCCCCAAGATTGAGCTCTCGCGTGGCAGATGTTCTTCAATCTCGCAAAGCAGACTGATCGGGTGTATGCAGTGTGCATGAGGTTGTCAATGAATGCAAAGCTGAACAACGGCGTGCGCAGCCCAGAAGGTACCATATTTTTGTCAAATGTCTCAAAATTCAGCGCTGAATTCTCTTTTTGTGGGTAGCTTTGAGGGTCCAGGTATCATTTTGTGCTGTTTGTGTTTGGTCGCAGATCGATTGCCTTCCGTTTCTTCGCGGAATGTGGTTGCTTGTTTCCTCTTCGGCCCGTGGCCTCGGTTGGAGTTTCTGGATATGCACGGCGTGTTCAAATTGGGGGGGGGGGGGTTGGTTACCCACACAGTTATGGGTTTTCCTTGGTTTGATTGTGTCAAAATTGGGGGAGGGGGGTTACTCAAAGAATTAATGGTTTTCCGTGGTTTTCCTTGGTTTTCCGTGGTTTTCCTTGGCTTTCCTTTACTTGTTTAGACCAACCTGGAAAAGGGTTCCTCGGAAGCAACAATCACGACCTCGGCGGGCAGTGGACATGCTTGCGCCGGCGCTCTTTTCCTGTGGAAAGCTACGCCAGGAGACGAACTCGCCTGCAAAAAATAAATGAAGCGCAACAAGTCTCCCAGAGGATCCTCGAAACATGGATGTGTCTTGGGTTGCATGGGAAAAAATATGCGGGAAGGGAAGTGGTTAACCCGGGTAACCCACACGGGTTGGTGGGTGGTCCAACGAGTTCCTCCATGTCAATGAGTGCGACCACTTTGTGATAGGGACTACCCCAAAACATTCGCGTGACGGCGCCGAAACTGGCTTTTCCATAGAAAGGTGAACCAAAAGAGACAGAAGCATGCCGCCGGTGGTATCTTTCATACACAGTTTTTCCCCAGATAGCTGAAAGCTATAGGGGTTCTAACTTCTAATAAAGAGGGGAAAGTGATTTGCGAGATTGAGGGCCGGGTGCTAGGGGGCATGCACTGTGGGGTGCTGGTGGATGCTGCTTTGCGAGCTTGACGGCCGGCTGCTAGGGGGCATGCAGTTTGGGGTGCTGGTGGATGCTGCTTTGCGAGCTTGACGGCCGGCTGCTAGGGGGCATGCAGTTTGGGGTGGTGGGTGCTGCTTTGCGAGCTTGACGGCCGGGTGCTAGGGGGCATGCACTGTGGGGTGCTGGTGGATGCTGCTTTGCGAGCTTGACGGCCGGGTGCTGGGGGCATGGGGGGCATGCAGTTTGGGGTGCTGGTGGATGCTGCTTTGCGAGCTTGACGGCCGGTGCTAGGGGGCATGCAGTTTGGGGTGGTGGATGCTGCTTTGCGAGCTTGACGGCCGGGTGCTGGGGGGCATGCAGTTTGGGGTGCTGGTGGGTGCTGCTTTGCGAGCTTGACGGCCGGGTGCTGGGGGGCATGCGGTTTGGGGTGCTGGTGGGTGCTGCTTTGCGAGCTTGACGGCCGGGTGCTGGGGGGCATGCAGTTTGGGGTGCTGGTGGGTGCTGCTTTGCGAGCTTGACGGCCGGGTGCTAGGGGGCATGCAGCTGTGGGGTGCTGGTGGATGCTGCTTTGCGAGCTTGACGGCCGGGTGCTGGGGGCATGGGGGGCATGCAGTTTGGGGTGCTGGTGGATGCTGCTTTGCGAGCTTGACGCCGGGTGCTAGGGGGCATGCAGTTTGGGGTGCTGGTGGGTGCTGCTTTGCGAGCTTGACGGCCGGGTGCTAGGGGGCATGCAGTTTGGGGTGCTGGTAGGTGCTGCTTTGCGAGCTTGACGACCGGGTGCTAGGGGGCATGCAGTTTGGGGTGCTGGTGGATGCTGTTTTGCAAGCTTGACGGCCGGGTGCTATGCAGTTGGGGGTGCTGGTGGGTGCTGCTTTGCGGGTGCTACGGGGCATGCAGTTTGGGGTGCTGGTAGATGCTGCTTTGCGAGCTTGACGGCCGGGTGGGGGGCTGCTGGTTTGCGAGCTGGCCGGCGAGCTTGACGGCCGGGTGCTCGGGGGCATGCAGTTTCGGGTGCTGGTGGATGCTGTTTTGCGAGCTTGACGGCTGGGTGCTGGGGGCATGCAGTTTGGGGTGCTGGTGGATGCTGTTTTGTTTTTCGAGCTGGCCGGGTGCTAGTGGCATGCAGTTTGGGGTGCTGGTGGATGCTGTTTTGCGAGCTTGACGGCCGGGTGCTGGGGGGCATGCAGTTTGGGCTGCTGGTGGATGCTGTTTTGCGAGCTGGCCGGGTGCTAGGGGGCATGCAGTTTCGCATGCTGCTTTGCGAGCTTGACGGCCGGGTGCTAAGGGGCATGCAGTTTGAGGCGCGGGTGGATGCTGCTTTGGTTGTACCGGGTGCTATAGGGGGCATGTTTGGGGTGCTGGTGGATGCTGTTCGCGTGTAACGGTTCGTGGCTGGTGTATCGTCATGATGTTCCCACGTTATGGTGTGTGGGTGTAGTGGCGCCGTGATGCTGTCAACGTCAGGATGATGCAGAATTTCATTAAGCTGTCGCAAGCTGGTTCGTGGCTGTGGTATCGTCATGATGCTGCCTTTACCATCAGCATGATGCTGTTCGCATCACCATGATGCTGTCCGCATCATCATGATGCTGTCCGCATCATCATGATGCTGTCGAACTCATCAGGACCTCGGTTTGCTTTTTCCTGCCGGATTGCTCTCAAAATCATCATTATGCTGCGGATCTCATTAGGACGTTGTCTGCGCGTTTGTTTCGTGGCTGTCATCATGGTCTACATCATCATGATAATGCTGCGTCATGGTTCGTATCCGTGGTGTGCTATCTGGGGTCTATGCTGGTGTATTTCAGGATTGCCTTTTGGGTTGTTTCGGTAGACAAATAGATGGCCCTGGTTTCCCATGTGGTTTAATCATCTACCAGAAAAAGCAACACCAACCCAACAGAAAAATGCCCCCAGCGGCCCCAGCGTGGGAAGTTCAAGCTGGTTGTCTATCGCACCAGAATGGAGAGTGCTTAGATTTCGCGAGAATACTCATTGTTTACACAAAATTGCAAATTTTTTTTACACAAATGGCCCATTTTTCGGGTTCTTTCAGGATTGGACCCGTAAAACGAACTTCCATCTGACCGATGGCAACTCGGTCGAAGGCCATGTCCCAGCCTCAGCGGAGCCCAGTGCGGCACCAGGCGCGATTCTCGGATTCGCGGGTGGCTTCCGGTGGTGCGGGGGATTTCTCAAATGGACACTTGGCTTAGCAAAAAGACACAGCGGCTGGTCTCAAGCCCTCAATTTTTGGGGGCAACACATGAGAAGCTGAGGAATGTCCAGCAAATCCAGGCCACTTCCAGCGCTTTTGCCGCTGTTTGGGGTCAGCCTGACTGCGGCGGAGATAGCAGCCGGTGCAGGAGCAGCTTCACCAACTTTAAGAACCCCGGTTCTTTCACAGCCCTTCTGAAATTTGGAGCGTTTTTGAGGAGCATGACTGCAGATGTTGCTTCTTTCCTGTGTTGGCCGCACGACGTGGTCGGCCTTGGTCCCGGCCGCCCAAGTCTTGCAGGATCCTGACGATGGTTGATGTTTACTCGCATGATGTTATTCTATACGTGTTTGTGGGATTGATTTCGTCCCTTCCTTTTCGAGGAATGGTACAACTGGACTCATGTTTATACCTAGGTGTGCTGCAGGGGGCTCAGAAATCCTGAGCTCAGAAGGGCTAGGTGCCGATCAACATGAAATCCGCAAAACAGACAAAGAATCAGCTGTGGGTCAAAACCAAAATGGTACCAGTTTGGGGTAGGTGCACCACCCATTTTAGTCTATTTTAGTGGATTGGGATGTTCACTGAGGGTGCGGGATTTTGATCCATGGCCATATCAAGATGCGATTTGTGTGATGGTCCCAATGGGAAAAACACCACTTATGATATAACGGGGCTGGGATTTTCTTGGGTGCTCTTCTGGTTTAAGGATCAAAGAAATCCAAAGGAAACAGCCCCGTGTTTGTTGGTTGGGGGGGGAATCCCTTACCCATATCTTCCTCCGATGAAGCAGATTCCGATCATGTTGCTTTCAGTGGTGTTTCTCAAGTTAGGCAACCATTAGAGTCGGTTGTTTGTGTGTAGATTCCCTCAAATCTTAGCATATGTTTGAGCCTTAATACAGGGAGGTGCCAAATAGGGAAGTCGAGCCCCCCAAAAAATAGATAGATCAATAAATGGTGTTTTTTTTTTGGGCTTCCAATTAAAAAACCACCCCCAAAGAGGAAACCTTGAAAACAAACAGAGCCATACGGTGTCATGACGGAAGATTTATGTCATGGCGACCGTTTAACTTTTAACAACAGATTGTAGCAAGGCAAATCTAGTGCCCAGTGTATCATTGGGGGGTGTGGGCGACCTGCGCTGCAGCTGCTGGGGGTTGCATGAATCTGTCCATCTACTGTACCCAGAGCTTCCAATTCGATAGATTTTAGGGCGTGATTCAATCGCCAAGTTTTGAGACCCCCAAACATTTTCGGGGTGTCCAATGCAGGGTCGAGGGGTCTTCCAGTGAAAAATACATCCCACTGTCAGGTTTGAGACCTCCAAACACCTCGGTCGAGGGGTCTTCCATTGACTCAGCCGAAGCCAGGCGCCTTTCATGGTTGTTGTTGGGCAACATGTTGCATTTTTGTTTATTGTGGTTTAGTGGTTGAAATTTTAACGTCCCCGCCCCCTCACCCCAAATGGTGGTTTATGTCGGGAATATCCCTCCAACCACCTTATTTCGGGCTGGTGAAATATTATAATTCACCCAGATTGAAGATTTAACTTTTTGTGAAATCAAGGGGTTTTCCACTAACCCCACAAAAAGTTAAACTTTTTGAAGGGGGTCAACAGCAAGCCAGTTAGGTAGTGCCAGTTAGTTGGTTTTTGTTTTCTCTCCGCAGGCCACGCAGACCGCCCCGGCGCTGACCTTCTCCACGGGCCGGGTGGGGGGCCACTCGGCCGCCCGCGGCCCCGGATTCGACCGGCGGGCTGGTTTCTGGCGGAGACCTTGGGTTTTGAGGCACATGGGTGTGGCTTAAAATTAAACGATCGGAGGGGCAAACCACAGGTTTGGGTCCATGTTTCCACTTACCAGGGTAACCCATTTTGGAATTCCGTTTTTTGAGCCACAGCCACATGGCTATGGGTCAAAAATTGGGTACCAAAATGGTTTGCTCTGCGGTTGCTTGGTGGTTTAATTTTGACCCATACCCACATGTCCCACGAAGAAGTGACTAAAAGGTACATGGGGGCCGTCCGTATTTGCATGTCAAAGTTTACGAACAGTGGCAACTGGTTGAACCGCGTGATTGGTAAAACTCGAGCCGCGAAAGGCCGGCGATAGTACCGCGAAAGGGAAACAAATGTAGTACGAGTTTTGACGTTGCATGGTGCCGACGCACGTCTCGCTGATGTTGACTGCGCGGGCTCGAGCAAAAGTTCCCTTTCGAGTCCTGAATGTTGATTTCGTTTGTGCAGGGCCAGACAGTGCTTTCCAAATCTGCTTGCTGGCGAGGGCTGGCGAATTGGATGGCGATTGGATGGCGATTGGATGGCGAATTCCGCGATTGGATGGCGATTGGACGAGTTCCACCAGTGAGCTCCTGCCCAACCGAGCTACGTCACTTCCTTCCTGTTTCCAGGTATATGGAGGAAGGCCAGCGCTTGAGATAAGACGGGGAAACTCGAAACAGAACAGCAGCAATGCCCAACGTTGCTCCGCGGGTGGACCCTGTGGGATTGCGATTGGATCGCGATTGGCCAGCGATTGGGGGGTCCTCAGGCAAAGTAATTTTGTAAAACCCCCACATACACGGAATACCTACTGAAATCTTTCGAGTTGAGTTGTTGCTGCTTGATGTGTATTTTCATTTTACGACACCCGGTTTGGATGAGATTGAAAAGGGAAGCTAACAGGCAAAAATCACCTATGTTGGGCGGCTTTGATTTTGAGACAAATGCAAATATGCCTTTTCCGTTGTTTTGAAGCCTGGAGGTCCAGTGGATGTGAAGCTCCTTTACATGGGTTCGAACTCAAGGATTCCAATAAACTGGAGGGTTGGGTTCCCTCAGGATTTTCGTGTACCCCGTTTGGCTATGAAGTTTAAGAAGGAAACCCCGCAACGGTCGAATCAAGATGCGTACCCATATTTTCTCCGTTGGGTTGTTTTAAGCATCCCTGTGGCCCTCGCGGACTGCTGATGGTCACATTCAGAAATGCCTTGAGCTTGCAGTCAATGACAGTTTTTTCCTGAACTGGTCATCAAGAGGCGCACTGGGTATGCCATTGGTGGCTCTTTCAGTGAAGCTGCAACCCTGGATCTGGGCGAGGATGTGTTTCGCTTGTTGGAGATGCTCGCACTGCGACCGTACAGGCTGGAGCTTCAGAGCTCTCCCAAGGGCCTCGATTGTGCGAGGGCAGCATGTGGATGATGCCATTGTCATGTCCTGCATTTGGTGCAGCGTGCGTTTGGCCTATGTGAAGTGAGAGAACGTATTGGTGGGGTGATGGGAGCCATGTATTAAAATACTGGCTGAATAGTTGCTAGTTACACCATGACTAAATTTGTGCGATTGACGCACATGCTATGCACCAGGGTGCAACTAGATGGTACAATCCCCTGTGTGTGCAAGTCAAGGGGATGACCAAGCTGAAGGGAATTGTGCCATCTACTTTCACCCAACTGTAGTCTTTAAGGCCCCGAGTTGCCAAATGGAGTGTTCCGGCGATTAGTTTCTGGTTGCTTGCTTGCTTTGTTTGCTTACTTGCCGGGAAAGAGCCCGTATTCAATCCCAAATCCGGTGAAACTTCCTGCTGGGATCCTGCTAGTCTCGCAGGATCACCAAAACCCCTCAAGTTTGGTTACGTAGCTCACTCATAGACACTCCCATACAGAAAGGCGGAGTGCGGTAAATATGGTTCTATCCCATTTGCCACGATTGCACACTCTTTCCAAGAAAAAATCATGATACAGCTGCACCACGTAATCTGTGGTTTAGCATGCTAGCATTTGGTAGCTTCCTGTGCTGGTAGAAGCGCCCCTCGTTTCACTTTGCGTGGCAGCCAGCTGTTTGGCTTGGATGAACGATCAAAGCATGGCCAAGATTTTGTCTAGACGGCCTAGATGCCCATGTTTCGGGTGACCAACCATCTCAACCACGAAACTTTGGATTGTTGCCCTTTTCCGGGTACATGGTTTTCCTAGGTAACCTCTAAAGGTTTCAGCATGGTAATTAAACCATAGAACCCCGAATGAAATCACAGGGTAAATTCGAGGCAAGGGCAAGCGGACCTCCCGGCCGGGTCACATGAGCTGATCCTCATGCTGGCCTTGTGGTTGATCGTCATCGTTTGGGTTGATCTCAAGTGGGATTCCTTGTGCTGAAAATCGGAACCCCTAGTACCGACGTGATCTCAGAAAGTAACAACGAGCATCGAAATAGGCGTGGAATTCTCAAGCAACGTGGCAGTGCTTTCTCTCATGGTGTTTGTCCCTGCCAGTCCCTGATCCTTTGTACCCCTCAAAGGTCGTTGGGATTCCAGACGCACCGGTCCAAACAAACCGATCCCAGGTCTCCATGACGCGGCTGCCGCGGTCCACGCACCAGGCACAGAGGGCGCGCAGAGCGCCGTTGGATCCCAAGCCGCACGCTATGCTCGCAGTTTGGGAGTGGGCAATCCTGAGTGCATGGACTTGAGCTACTTTTTCGGGCTGGACCAAGTCTAATGGCAAACAAGCTCGGGCTTGTTTCGGGCCATCCACTCATATCCACCCAGGGAAGTGAGTTTGGGTGGGGTTGAAGGGAAGTTCAAAGGAAAGCCGAGGTCTAAATCCGGATTTTGATGCCCAGACGACATGACCTGCAAGAGGGTGCGAGGTGGCTGAACTGCACGTGCCACAGTCCACAGTCAGTTCTAAGCGGACCGGCATGGGCCGAGATTTGATAGGGCATTGGATGAAGGGCCCCTGGTCGCCATTGATGTAGTTTTCCTAGGCACATGAAGTAAATCCCATTGAACTCCTCAGAAGTGCGAGCCACTGATTTGCTTCAGAACCCATGGTTTCAAGATGACTGGATTACAAGGCAATGGGTATAAACCATTCGGCTTCTGACCGCATCTTTCTCAAGAAAGAAAGCCCTCAAGAAGCACCAGCCGTGCTCTTTAGCAAAAAACAACAACAAAAACACCAACATGGTGTTTGTTTTATCCGGCAAAAAAGCAAGAGATGAAAACCATACCGCGTTGTTTGCCATTTTTTTTTGGCGTCAGAGAAAAAAACGAGATGTACATCCCCCCCGAAACTCCCTCCAGCCCTGGGCCGACTCCCTGCCCGGCAGGTGCCGGCCGCGGCCTTCGAGGCGCCGCCGGAGCTGCAGCTGCTGGAGGCGGAGATCAGCTCACGTCGCGGAGACCGCCAGGGCGGTGGTTGCCAAACCCCGCGCGTGGGGAATGACATTTTTTTCTAAAACCAGCTTTTTTTTTAAACCAGCTTGGGGAATGACCTTTTTTTTTGAAACCAGCTGCGACTTTGGTGAGAAGTGGGTCGGTCGAAACCGCCATAGGCGGTGCGAAGACTCCATATGGCCATGGGTCAAGACCCAAATCGTAGCCCCAGTGAAGGTCCGATTCAATCCAAGCACTAGAATAGGTTCTACAATTACAATGGGTGGTGAATTCACCTATCCCAAAATGGTACCATTGGTTTTGGATCCCATTTTGGGGTAGGTGAAGTCACCACCCATTTTAGAACCTATTCTAGTGCTTGGATTGAATCGGACCTTCACTGGGGCTACGATTTGGCTTTTGACCCATGGCCACGTTGGTTTCTGAGGACAGACAAATGGCGTAGGTTTTTGCGGTTTCCGTGTCCCCAAAAATATTTGGTTTTGTAACACAGAGCACATGTTTTTATGCCCTGACACCGACATTCGGTGTTCCTTTCCCCCCACAAACATCCCGCACCCAAAACGGTAGCAGCAACAAGGGTAATTACTACCGGACACACACAGAGACATTCTCCCTTCTTGGTTTTAAATACTGCCAAACCTCAACACGTTGCTTTCTGGATACGGTCAGGAAGTGCAGCCGCAAAATCTGATGAAACCACCTGCTGGTTGTCAAGTTCAAGTGAGCTTCCTTGGGTGAAAAGGGGAAGTATAGCACACCCTGTGGTCTCAAGATCTGCCGATGTGGTTTTCGAGCCGTTCCAGCAATGCGAATGTAACATGAGCTGACCGACATGTAGGTCCTTCGCTAGTGAATATGCCATTTCAGATTGGACATATAGCACGCATTGCAGATGGTCTCAAAATGGTTTGGGAATTCAGAAACAGCTCCTTTGTGTCCTGTTTGTTTCAGATAAGAAAAAGGGCTTCGCTTTGTGGTCTTCCTTTGGTTGCGACTTGGTGTCCAAAGCCTGGGAGTGCTTCGTTAGTTGTTGCATGGCTTCCCTGTTGAGCCTGGAGATTTGAGAATGCGCAGAGCGGTTTCAATAGGCAACGCAAAGCTAACCATCGGGGCAATGCGTGCCCCGTTTTGAGGCATGCCCATATTGTGAGTTGTTGTGCTGTAAATGCATCCCTTTTGGGTTGGTTGAAGGGAAACCGAGGCAAACCCCGCCTTCCTGGGTCGACTTTTTTGGGAAACATGCAATTCAGATTTGCTGGATAGTTGTGAGCCTGCCACTTGGAGAAAGCAACTAGGGATAGATGATCTTCCGTTTGGTTGAGAATGTATTTTATTTTCCCCTGTTGGTTTTAAAGGGAACCCAGCACTATCAATAAGCCCAAAACAAGTACTTCAAGCCAACGATCGAAGGCACCCAGGCAAAGGGGTGGTTTTAAGAGGACACCAACAGGAATCCCCTCAAAAAGACCCCGAATGAGGGCGCGCCTTCCTGACACGTCCTGACACCGGTCTCGCGATATCACGCCAGGCGTCCATTGTGGCATTCGTGCGGTCCGTGGAAGTTCAGACAGAGAGCCAGGCGCAGAACGGTTGCACGGTGCTCGTTTTTTTGTTGCTTTCCACTGAGCGCACAGGTCCATGGCCTTCCAAGGGTTGTCTATTTGCCCCAAACGTCGCCAAATGGTGGCCCTGAAAAGTACCACTTGATAGCGCTGGGTCCCTAATGAAGCCCGATTGGAAAACTGGTTGACAGACCGCCTACCGACAGTTGCAAAGTGGATTTGGTCTCTACAATCAAGAGAATAGTCCAGGCACCTCTACCCTTTGGGGGCCCGCCCAGATCCCAAGGCAGGCCTTTTGCCTCCCCGCAGAACGGGTCGCCCAATTGGATCCAAGTCTGCCCACGCCCAATAAATGGGTCCCTTGCAGTGATACCATCCGGTGAGATTGCCACTCCGAAAACAAATGCTATGATACATGCATTGACTTGCAAGGGGACTCACCGATATCACAGAAAGCTTTCCCAGCCTTCGACCAACACGTGGCTATAGATATTATATATATATATATATATGTGTGTGGGCGTGTGTTTCTGCGCTTCCGTTGTTTGTTGTTTGTTTGTTTGTTTGATTGTTTGATTGATTGATTGATTGATTGATTGATTGATTGATTGATTGATTGATTGATTGATTGATTGATTCATTGATTCATTGATTCATTGATTCATTGATTCATTGATTCATTGATTCATTGATTCATTGATTGATTGATTGATTGATTGATTTGATTGGTTTGATTGATTGATTGATTGATTGATTGATTGATTGATTGATTGATTGATTGTTTGATTGTTTGATTGTTTGATTGTTTGATTGTTTGATTGTTTGATTGTTTGATTGTTTGATTGTTTGTGTGTTTGTTTGTTTGTTTGTTTGTTTGTTTGTTTGTTTGTTTGTTTGTTTGTTTGTTTGTTTGTTTGTTTGTTTGTGCGCGCGCTTGAAGTGGATTTCAGAGGCATGAACAGCATTCTTAGATGCAGCGCCCCCATCGCAAGGCATGATTCGCTGCCAGCTGGGCAGGGGGCAGTACTGGTCGTTGTGCATGGCGAGTAGCAAAAAGCTGTGGACTGGGTCAAAGTTGCAAGCAGCTACAAGGGCCGGGAGAAAAGGACCATAGCCATAGCTCCACAAGGGGAGGGCAAACGCCGGCTGGTTGAAGGAATCGCCCAACAAAGCATCAGGATCTTTGAGTCCTCAATGACAGCGCTGTTGGTGGCTTTACTTTGCTACCAGAATCCCCACAACCAACAAAACGATGAGGGCCCCCTCCAAATATTACATACCCTAGAAAGCATTCGAGGAGGCCTTTGTCACGGGCATCCCCCCTTCGGAAATTCAGGATCCACCAAAGCAACTGTCTGAACGTGAGATCTTGAAAGCCCCTTACGGAGCGGCGAGAGTTCTGCTTTGCTTTAGTGGGACTTCCCTGTTTTGCGCACCCCTTGTGTGAGCAACCTGGTTCTATGAGAATTCTTCGCAGGCTCCTGGTCTGAAAGGGAGTGACGTTGGCTTACTCACCAACACTTGGGTCGCACAATAAACATACTTCTACAAAAGCAATCCCACAAAAATGACGATTCCATTTAAAATAGAAATGGCGCAATATATTCGAAGAAGACAATTCTAGATTGATAATGCAACTATAAACAAACATCAAGCCATGATAAGAGAAAGAAACAGGTAAGACAAGAATTGAACACCACACATATGACTATTGCCAAATGAAGGAGTTTACAGACATCACCATTTCATTCGTGATTAACCGATTGGAGAATAGACAGAGACTTCGTTCCTGGCCGTCGGAGTTATTCCTTAAGCAATGTTCATCTAATTTGTCTTGTAATGGCTTTTTCCATCACATGCCACCCACATCCAGAACGTGACCAAACAAAAATGCAAGAATTAGAAACAGTCTCCAGCAGTATCCAGAAAAAAACATGTCTCCATGTTCTAGATATTGACCCTGGCTGAGTGGGTTTCTCAGATTTTTTGGGGTCGCAGGCCTCTTACCGCAGAGCTGTCATTGCAAACTGCAAGCGGGTGGCCGGGCAGCTCGGATCAAAGTGTGACGAGACCTGGGTCCAGTCAGAGCGATTGAACAAAGAAATCCGGGGCACATGGGTGGGTCTTTTTTCGAGGGTACACTTGGTGGGGTGGGGTAAGGGGAAAAAAACGGAAGCACTTTGAATAAGGGTACACTCTCTCAAAACTTTTTAGGGGGAAAAACGAAAACCGCAAGTTTTGAGGTTCCCCTATGTTGAGTAGATGGGCAGCTCGCGGAATCCAGGGACTCGCTCATTTCCATTTGCAGTCTTGCCTTGGCATGTGACGGGGTGGATAAGATGCCCGGCCGGCAACCTAGGACTAGTCAGCTTCTGGTTGATCTCTAAAGGGAGTCCCAAAGATTGTGGTAGCCCGTACGCTGAGCGGAGGTTTGTTGCAGCAACCCACCTTGGGGCTGACTTCTTGTGACAACAAATATGGGCTGCTTCAGCACTCCGCGAAATCTCTAGAAGTGTTCATTTGAGATTGCATTCCCCCCTTTGGGACACGCCTGAATTGACAAAGCGGGTTCCCATGTTGAAGTATTCACAAGGAGGTCACCGTTTTGGTTGCACCCACCTAAGCGGTCCTTACCCAAAGACTTACCGGGTCGTGAACAGTGCTTTTTGGAGTAATTCGTAGTTTCCCAACGGTACACAGGATTAGGAAAGAGCATTTGAGGGTTAGCGCTTGCCCAACGCACAGCATTTGAGTCCCAGGAGAAGGATTGAACCTGGGTAGACTCCAAAAGACCCTCGAAAGAACGACACGCCCAACCCTGAGCGCTTCAGAAAGAGGACTGACCAATGTGATGCCGAGTGGCCAGCCAGATCACTTGCTGGTAAAGCTGGTCAAGACGGGGTAAAAGTGAGAGAAGGCGAGAGGAACGCGGATGGGATCTGTGAAGTGGGTTGCCAGGAGATCGCCACTTAAGTGACGCCTGAACCAGGGTTTTACCCACAAAAAGCCGCAGTTTTTTAACCACCAGTAAGTTGATCAACTGATTTGGGGAAATCCATTGACTTGGAATCTGTTTGATGGCCCTTAGTACAGAATTGATCGGGCCAAACGCCAAGTTTTCGGACCTTGAATCAACAGATATCCAGTTCCCGTTTTTTCCTTCAACATGTTTCCAGTAGCAAACGTTATTTTCCTTCAAACGATTTCCAGTAACAACCTGTTTTCCTTCAACATGTTTCCAGCACCAACCGTTTTGTCTCCTTTTTCCCCAGCACCAACCCTTTTTTGCCCACCCTCCAACCCGGGGGGTGACCGGGGGTTTCCCCCTTCCCAACCACCCCCTCCCCCCCCGCCCGCGTCGAGCGCCCCCACCTCCGAGGCCCAGGCGGTGTGGCCCCGCTGCTCCCTGGAGCTCTACGGGTCCTACGCCTCCGGCCTGGGGCTCAGCAGCGGCCTGGACCTCCTGCTGAAGGCGCGGGGCGCGGGGTGCTCGGCGGTTTGGGGCGGGCGGCGCTCGGTTTGGGGCGGCTCGGACGCGGCTCTTTGCGGCTCGGGGGCTGGGCGCTTCTCGGGGAAGGGCCGGGGGGGGTTTGGCGCGGGGGGGGAAGGGGCCGGAGGCCAGCGGTTTTTTGGGGGGGGCCTCAACACAAGAACCACATTTTTTGTTTTGGTGTGCGTTTTCTACTAATAATGTGTAAGCCTAGATCCCCCAGCTAGGTGCCCTTTTACCGTTTTTGTTTGGGGGGAGGGTTCCCCTACTAGAATAGACGTCCTGAAAAAAGTTGGTACCCTTATTCTAAGCTCTCTACTGGAGGACCTAGCCTACCACTCTGACTCTCGCCGACCAAAAGCGCCAACAGCATTTCAATCTTGGGTTGCAAAAAGGCAAGCTTTCGAAGTTCGGTTTGGGCAGAAACCGCTCAAAAGCTCAATTGATGCTCAACATGGAGCAACGAACATGGGGTTCATAGGTGGGGGGGACCACGAATCAGGTACCACGCAAAACTGGTGGTTGGGATGGGTGTGGGGGTTACACCCCCAGTTCCTTTCGAGTGCAAATGGGTTCGCAAATGCGTCAGATGGCTTCAGGGTTCCTTTGGCCCCTTGCTTCGGATCTGTGAATCATGCTATTCGCCCAGTATGAATAATTTAAGTTGGCAACCCTTTGGTCGTCAGTTGCAGGGTTGGATTTGTGTACCGCTAGCCCTGGTTCAGGGTGTACCCAATCAAAGAACATCGGGGGTGGGGGGAAAGGGGCGTCTCCACGCCAAATTCCATGGGGACTACACTCGATCATTGGACCAAAACCAACCTGTAAATCATGCCCACCAAAGCGCCCCTTAAGAATTACCTATAATATAGACCATGTTGCATTCCCACGATTGTCTGAATACAGAGCAGCATCTTAGAATTCCAATTTAAAGCCCTTGTCTTAGACTTGTCTCTTGTTTTCTTGTTTTGTGCCTACATGTTTGTTTGTTTTTCCGAAAGCCCAATTTAAGCAAGTTCCTTTGGTGGGGTGATGCTGGAAGGGGGAAACACAGGATGGTCTGTTATTTGTTGCTAGAGACCCCTCTCTTTTGAGTGCCTGGCGGCACCCCGCGTGACCTTGTTCTTCGGTCAAGCCCTGTTCTTTGGCCATACGTTGTGGCATCAATTGCGTATACAACTCGTGTGAAGCCCGTAGGTGTCCAACAACATGACGAGAACTATCCGTTTCAGTAACCAGATGAACACTAGGGATGGATGCACTTTGGGCGAGGCATTATGGAGACTCTCACTCAAAAGTAGTGCACTCCGAACTGTGTCGGTGTCACTTGTCAAACATGACAAGGTTGGGGGAACAGGGCACCACATTTCGGGCAGTATGTATTCGCTTCACATCTATGGTCATGCTATCTTTGTTTTGCCTGTGCCCACGTGAAAGCGCACCAGGAGACAAGTTGAAGTTGGCACCAGCATTTGGGATCGTTGTCTCCGTGCCACGCGGGTTTGGTTTCAAGCTAAGGGGGCACGCACAACGGATAAATGCTCATATGGCTGTGGGGCAAAACCAATGGGATCCCATTTTGGGGTAGGTATTTTAGTGGGGATTGGGATGTGCACTGGGGGTACGATTTGGATTTTGAGCCACAGCCATATCAGCCCTGACGGAAGTTTTGGATACTGCCCGTAGCTGATTGGGCAAGTACGAGATCCAAACCAGAAATCCATCTTACCCAACTCAGGGGGCTGATCCATCTGGGAACGCCAGTCCCTGAAAAACCAAAGGTTTGATACCCCGCTTCAAGGGGACAGTTGAACCCAGAAAGTGTCAAGTTGATGGGTACACTGCGAAAGCCGTCTATGTGAACGTTGTTCAGTTAGGAAGGACACATGCTGTTAGCTCCAAGCTGCTAGCCGTGCCAGGGCCAGGGCAAGCATGAACTGAACACACAACGCAGAATGGTGATTTTTCCATCAAAAGAAGCCAGATCGGGAGGGATGAGCTGCTGTTTTCTCCCGATCCCCCTATTTGGGTGCGTCATTTTGTGCCACCCCCTGATGGGTGTGTGTTTGAAACCACGAGGAAAACCGTTCATCCTCCGGGAAAGCGGTGCGCCATTTTGGGGTCCAAGCCAAAGGAAGACATTTGACCCCCATCAACCCCACTCAGCGGCTTCCAGAACTGATCGCAGGTGCACCCCTCGCACGGTTTCAGTGTGGCGGAGCCTGCGGAGGAACAGGCCACGAGTTTCGAACATTCGGAGCAACACGTGCAAGAAACTGGCGCTGGGAAGTGAGCATGATGTTTGCGTCAGAGAATTGAAGCCTAGATATGTGACATGTAATTAAAACCTATCATATTTGAATGGAACTAGAAAATCTGTTGAACTATGTAGCCCAATACGCATGTTGTCATATACAGTTGTACAGTTGAGACTACTGACATGTTTTGGCTCAAGAAAATAAGGCGCTCCGAAGCGGCCAAATAGATTTTCATGGTAGCGGGGAGCAGTAAAGGTTCAGAGGGACCTAAGCGCTCAATTTGGTACTACGCCAGCAGAGGGCGTGGATCAGTACCGCCTTGGAGGCGGGGAGGCCGCGGACGCGGCAGGAGCCCGGCGGCGGTAGAGCCGCCAGGCGAGGAGGGCGCTTCGGTCGTGCCAGAGACCGAGGAGCTGCCCGAAGAGGCGCCGGTGGAGGAGACCGGGCCTGAGCAGCTCGGAGGAGCTGAAGAGGGGCCAGAAGAATTGGCCTCGGGACCGGATTGGTCCCCCAACGAGGAGAGCGTTGCCCAGCAGGCAGCTGAGACAGAGAGGATCTTAGCTAAGCTGCTGGAGGAGCCAGAGGAGCCAGAGGAGCCACCAAAGAAGAGAAAGAAGAGAGAGGATAAGCCCCCAGAGCCGAAGAAGGCGGCGCGCAAAGGGTGGATCGTCAATAGATCCACAGAGGCTTCAGCGTCGACTCGGACGCCTGGGGCAACTGGCGATCTCCTTTGATCGCCCTGGCAGCCCCGTCCTCATCGCATCCGGAGGCTGCCAGCAGCAGCAGCACAGCACCAGCAGCAGAAGCAGCAGCTGAGGAAGAGGAGGTCCAAGTAGAATCAGAGGAGGAGGCCCCTGCAGCAGCTGAGGAGAAGCCCGAAGAAGCAGGCAAGGGAAAGGGCAAAGGCAAGAAGGGCGAGAAGAAGAAGAAGAAGAGCAAGGCGCCCTGGCCCCGCGTGAAGGAGAACTCAGCCGGTAAGTGGAAGGACGGACGCCGGTCCAAGGAGGCGAGGTCCTACCGGTTCTTGCGGGGCTTGGTCAAGTTGAACTTGAAGCGCAACAACCCGATCCCGCCTGCAGTCCAGGAAGCCCTCGATAAGTTTGAGGAAGAGTACGGCTACGAGGTGCCTGTCCCCAAAGGCTTTGGCAGGAACGTGCAGCCAAAGTCCCCTCCAGGTGGTCCAAGGCAAAGGCCCAAGCGGGAGTTGACCCGCCGTAAGAGAAGGCCGACCAGTGGAAGCACCTCGGAGGAGGAGGAGGAGCCCACTGCCAAAGCAGCCGCAGCAGCTGAGGAGGCAGCAGCACCGGGCGCTGAGCCAATTGCATTGCTGCCGGAGGTGGCAGCCGCGGCGAAGTCTGCAGGCCGCGTGATCAGTGTGGCGCTAGCCACGCAAGAGGCAGCACTGCGCAGAGTGCGCGCAGGCAAAGCCACCCCGGAGTCTGCATTGGCCAGCAACTACCGCCTGAGGAACGCGGCAATCGCTCAGGAAATTGCCGAGAGCAAAGCGCCGGCTCAGGGAACAGCTGGAGCTGCCGTAGAGGCAGCGATCAGGGCCCAGGTGTTGGCCCGTGACAGCCTAGCAAAGGCTTGCAGCTCGTGCGACGAGAGGCACCGCGCTCAATACCCGTGGGTGTTGGAGCGTGCGGCGCGCATCGCGAGCCAAGGCAAGGGCGCGAAGGGCGCGACGCCTATCGCACCTGCTGCTGTCACCACTGCATCAACGGCCCTTGCAGTGAACCCCAAGCCCGCGGCGAAGAAGCCGCCACCTGTGCCCAAGACAGCGTCCGGAAAGCCTGCAGCAAAGGTCAAGTTGCAGCCCAAGCTCAAGCTGCAGCCCAAGGGGCAGCCCGAGGAAAAGCCGGGTGAGGAAGTGGCCGAAAGCAGCAAAGGTAAGTGGTCCGGAGTCCGCTTTCCGACTGAGCAGGAGTCCACAGACTCGGAAACCTACACTTCGGGGTCCGAGATCTTTGTGGAGGAACCCGCCGAGGATAGCGAGGCAGACGTATAGTCTGCCGAGGGCCAATGGCAGAATTAGCTGCCATACAAGCGCAACTGCAGCAGATCCTTGAGGAAAATAGAGTGTTGCGCGAGCAGCAACAGAGGCAACAGGAACAAACTGCCCTGTTGACCCGGCTGGCCGAAAGCATGACAGAATTGGCCAGGAATACAAAAAGAGAGGAACCCAGGAAGCTGTTGGTTGACACAAAGGGGATTGGTAAGCCGGAACGGTTCAACAATGAAGAGCATACGTTCCGGAAGTGGGTGCGTTCAGTCACAAACCTTGTTGTCAGCATCTTTGGGAAGGAATTTGAGAAAGTATTGGATTGGTGCCTCGATCAGGATGGGCCCGACGACATCACTGTGGACGAAGTCGAGGCCGCGCATGGGGAGCCGGACGGGGTGTCCGGTTTACCAGACATAGGGGACCAATTGTTTCGTTTGCTTTCTTCCTTAACCCATGGAGAGACTGAGGACTTGGTGATAGGCTGTTCTAATGGGTTCGAAGCGTGGAGAAGAATCCACCGCCGGTGGGATCCCCTAACCGCCGGACGGAAGAGAAACATACTCCGGGCGATATTGAACCCAGAACGTGTGAAACGGTGGGAAAATGCGAGGGCCGCAATAGAGCAACTCGAGGACCTTTTCAGGCGATATGAAAATCGCAAGAACGAAGCTGGTGAGAGAGAACGCCTGTTAGAAGACATAAAGGCGACCAGCTTGGAGTTGCTTGTACCCTCAGACATTGAACGCCACCTTTTGTTGAACAAAGGACGCCTCACAACCTACGCACAGATGAAATCAGAAATTGACCTTGTGATTGAATCCTCTTTGGGAAGTAAGGCACCGATTTCACGCCCTGGCGCAGCATCCTCATCGGACAGTGGCCCGGCGCCCATGGACGTGGACAGCCTCACAAAGGTCATCAACAGCTTGGTCAAAGGCAAGGGATCCGGTGGAAAGGGCAAGAGTAAGGGCAAAGGTAAAGACAAGGGCAGTGGGGGAAAAGGTTCAACTTCCAAGGACATAGTTTGCTTTAATTGCGGTAAAGCCGGGCATAAAGCTGCGGAGTGCTGGAGTAAAAGGAAGGATGGCTCAAACAAAGGCTCAAGCAAAGGCTCAAAAGGAGGTGGAAAGAAAGGCAAGAGCAAGGGTAAGCACAAAGGAGCGAACTCACTGGAAGAGGACACAGGTGAGGGAGCCCATGAGGAAGAACAACCCGAAGGAGAGCTCGATGTGGGTATGTTTGAACTGGGTGCACTTACAGCTGGAGAGGACCTCCAGGCTATGGAATGGGTCCGCTTCAATTTGGACACCGGTGCAGCCCAGACAGCAATCCCATCGGACTGGGCAGACAAAGTGCCGGTCAAGGAAGGAACTGAGGTTATGTTCAAGACGGCCTCAGGTGAGCTGGTCCGTGGGACTGGTACGGGTGTGTTCAAAGGAACCGGGGAGTTTGGGCACTGCTGCAGTGTCACAGGCCCGTTGGCTCCGGTACACAAACCCTTGGTCTCGGCCTACAAATGCTTGAAGCACGGCAGAGTTGCGGTGCTAGACGAGCATGGCGGGAATCTGATCCCGCAGGACTCCAAGGTTTCTGGCAAGATCTTGGAGCTCATTGAGAAGGAGAAGAACAAGCACCATGCGAAGGCATGGATTCCGGTGTACCAGGAGAAAGGAGTCTACAACTTCTACCTGAAGGCGAAGGCACCTACTCAGGGTTTTGGGCGGCAGCCCACAGTGGTGTAAGTCCGGCCCAAGCCATGGCAGTGGCAGAAGGGCGGAGGTGGACGAGCATGAGTCCACAGGCCATGTTCAGTACAGGACTTGGTGCCGGCATTGCGTTGCCGGGAGAGGCCTAGGTCAGCAACACAGGTCTCGAGATGAGGACAGTAAGAGAGATGACGGTTTACCCATCATCGCGAGCGACTACACCTTCATGACTACAGATGGCAAGGAAGATGGAAGAGCCAAGCCTATCTTGGTGATCAAAGACAGCCGGACGTTGTCCGTGGCAGCCACTTTTGTGGATGCAAAGGGTAATACACCCTATGCCGTTAAGTTCTTTGCCAACTTTCTGAAGCACTTAGGCTATCGGAGAGCGGTCATGATGAGTGATGGTGAGCATTCGATTGTTGCTCTTAAGGAGCAGGCAGCCCGTGAGGCTGGAGTGGAAAACGTTCCACAGGAGTCCCCGGTGGGTGACCACCGGAGCAATGGACTGGCGGAAAATGCAGTCCGTGAGGTCAAGAGGCAGGTAAGAGTCTTGAGGTCTTCTTTAGAAGAGATGATCGGCAAGGTTCTACGTGAGGACGATCCCGTCCTGGCATGGCTTCCGCGGCATGGGGCAGACCTGATGTGCCGGTACCGCAAAGGACCGGACGGCCGCATGCCTGAACACAGGCGTTGTGGTAAGAACTGGCGAAAGCCAGCGATCGCTATAGGCGAAAAGTTGTACTACCGTGAGGTAGGAGAAGGAGTACGACATCTTAAGGAAGGCCGGTACATCGGCCACCATGGTCGTACCGGATCACTTTTGGTGATCACAGCAGATGGTGTCAAGAGAGGCACTGGAGTCCGCAGACTGGCGGACTGTGACCGTTGGGTAGCCGACGGATGGGATGCCCTACGAGGGCTTCCATGGGAGGTGACTCCGAGCACGCCACGTGCCGGAGCGGCTGGAAAAGCCGTTGTCTTGGTTGGAGAGCCAAGGATGGAGGTGCCACCAGCAGTTCATGTCATGGCGCCACCTATGCAGAAGAGGATCTACATCCGGAAGGCAGACGTCGAGAAGTACACGCCTACAGATGGGTGCCCAGGATGCACATGCATTTTGCTGGGCCAATCTACCGTGTTGCCACACACGGAAGCATGCAGAGCCAGGATTGTGACTCTGATGCAACAAGATGAGGAAGGCAAGAGCAGATTAGAAGAACACGAGAGGAAGAAGAGATCTAAAAGGGATGAGAAGAACGAGGCCCCTGAGAGGGATGTGACAGCTGATGACGCAGCTGGAGCGCCGGCCGACAAGGCCGTGCAAGCTGGTGAAGAACGCAGGGATGAAGGCATTTTGCCATACCCTGACAACCGAGAGGAGAGGTCAAGCCTGAAACGTGCACCTGCAGAGCCCAGCAGTAGCAGTACGCCTGCAGGGAGTAAGGCTAAAGCCTCACCGGTCAAAGACCGCAGAACTCAGGATAGCCGCTGGACCTAAGCTGAAGGTCCAGCCGCCCCAAGGAGAGAAGAGAGAACCTGAGGTATCAGTTGAAGATTTGAGAGATCAGACTGGAGAGCCACCTGCTGGAGCAACTACTCCAGGGCAGCCCCCGGACGCGGGAGGACTGTCTTTGAGCAGGGCAAAGGAGGTGGTGAAGAGGATGATCGAGAGGAGAATCAAGCAGGTCTATGAGCAGCAGGAGGTAGAGAACTTGTCAGTGGAAATTGAGACTCTAGCCAACATAAGCTGCGAGCTAAGCGCAGTACACATCATGGAAGTGTACAGTCCAGCAAGATTCTCTAAGGAGGCGAGCAGGTTTGGTTTAAAGCCTGGTTTCGCAATTGACCTTGAGGAGGCTAAACCCGACGGTTCGTTCTGGGACCTTAGCAGGCCAGAAGACGTCGAGGCCGTAAACCAACTGATTGATCGCGACGAACCAGTACTACTGACTGGGAGTCCGCCGTGTGATCAATTCAGCCACTTGCAGAACATCAACAAGTACAGGGTCAGCCCGGATCAGCGTAAGATCCGTATGGATAAAGCACTGGAGCATTTGCGCAACTCATGCAGCTTCTATAGGAAGCAGCTGGATGCAGGACGCCTGTTCTTGCACGAGGCGCCCTGGAGTGCCACTTCGTGGAAAGATCCTGAAGTCAAGGAACTGACGGATCGCCCGGACACATATTTGGTCCGAGGGCCGATGTGCCGATGGGAGATGATGGCGACAGACCGCCGTGGTCTTCAAGGCACGGGCTGTGTGAGAAAGGAGACCGGCTGGCTCACTAATAGCCGGGAGCTTGCTGAGCTCTTGGAAGGTGAGTGCAGCAACAAGGCAGGGAAAGATCCCTGGCACAGGCATGTACACCTTCTTGGTGGAATTGCAGCTGTCCTTCGGACAGTCAAAGCTTATCTTGTACAGAAGGGTGAGCTTAACTCAATGGAGTCGAATACATCAGGGCCAATCTGTGAGGAACCTTTTGTTCCAGCAGACTACATTGAAGAGTACTGGGATGATGTGAATGGAGGACTTCTACCAGCGGAAGAAGTTAAGAAGGCCAGAACTCTTGAGATGGACTACTTCAAGAAGCAAGGAGTTTACCGGAAGGTGCCGGTAACACAATGCTACGCAGAGGGACTTCGTCCAATCACGGTGAGATGGTTAGACACGAACAAAGGAGATCCTGAAAAGCCCAACTACCGGTCTAGATTAGTTGCCCGTGAAATTAAGGCAGCTAAGAAGCCGGAAGAACAGTTGCCGCAGAACCTCCTGTTCTCGTCAACGCCGCCGTTGGAGGCAATGCGCTACTTGCTGAGTGCCTGGGCAACAGACCGGGTGTCAGCCAAGGGCCGGAGACTGAAGCTCGGTCTCTGGGACATAAGTCGAGCGCACTTTTATGGAGTTCCGAAGCGACGCATATATGTGGAGCTTCCACCAGAAGACGCAGAAGAAGGCTTCTGTGGTTTGTTGGAGAAGAGCATGTATGGTTGCCAAGACGCGCCAGCAATATGGCAAGACCATTATACCCAACTTCTTTTGAAGCATGGGTTTCAGCGTGGCCGCAGGAATGGTTCCTGCTTTTATAAGCCGAGCACAGGGTGCAGAGTGTTGGTTCATGGAGACGACTTTCTTGCGCTTGGTGATCAAGAAGCTTTGGATGAGCTGGATTCCACTCTAAGGAGTGCCTACGAGCTGAAACGGCTCGGAATGCTGGGAGACGAGGATGGAGATGATCGCGCAGCACATTTCTTGAATCGTCTGATCCGCATTGGCATGCACGAAGGCATGTGGAACTTTTGGTGAGACATCTGGGAATGGTGAACGCGAAGGGCACTGAGACCCCAGACATCAAGAAGTCCGTGGAGCAGCATGGAGGCTAACAGCCCTCCGTTGGCACGAGAAGCAGCTTCACTTTATAGGTCGAGTGTGATGCGAGCAGCGTACCTCAGTCAAGATCGTCCTGATCTTTCGCACGCTGTGAAGAATCTTTCAAGGAAGATGGTCACCCCGACCGAGGCGGCGATGCAAGACCTGAAGAGACTGTGCAGGTATTTGCTGAAGTATCCTGATCTTTGTCAAGTGTTTGGGAGACAAGCCAAACCTTCGAAGGTCCGTATACAGGTTGATTCTGACCATGCAGGAGACGCTGTCACTAGGCGAAGCACTACAGGCATGGTTGCCCTCTATGGTAGCCATACACTGAAGCACTCAAGCAACGTCCAGTCGACGATAGCATTGAGCACTGGAGAGAGTGAGTATTACGCTTTAGTGAAAGGCGGTTCTGTAGGATTAGGACTTCAATCCCTCCTTCAAGACTTTGGAGTTGAGGTAGAGGTTCTAGTAGAGTCTGATGCAACCGCAGCCAAAGGCACGGTTAATAGAGTAGGCCTGGGAAAGGCACGCCACATTCAAACTCGTTATCTGTGGTTACAGGAACGTGTGGCGATGAACCATTTAAAGGTAGAACACATACCAGGCAAGCGGAACAGGTCTGATGTGCTGACAAAGTCAGTACCCGGAGTCCAAATGAAGGACGCAATGAATCGTTCCGGATTTGTGTTTCTTCAAAGCAAGAGTAAAGGCCAGATGAGTCTTCTAGATTCGTAAGGCCCTAATCCAGGCTCCGACTACCGCACTGTATAGTTGCTGTGCGGGTGATCAAGCACCCTCCAGCAAGGAGGAGTGTTGAAATATGTAGCCCAATACGCATGTTGTCATATACAGTTGTACAGTTGAGACTACTGACATGTTTTGGCTCAAGAAAATAAGGCGCTCCGAAGCGGCCAAATAGATTTTCAAAATCAGGATGGCGATGTGGGACACATTGAGAGATGATCATAGGAGCATAATGTGTATAGCTACTCCACCAACAAGGAACATGGGAGGTATGTTCATGGAATCCTCAACTTCAGGTGAACTATACTAGTTGGTTCAGATGTGTACAAACTCGCAGGCTGGAAAATCGGCAGAAGGTGTCTTTGCATTCCCTTTGCCAGGGGCCGGCTGTCTAGCTCTCAGGGTTTTCGACAGGCATTCGAAGGACATGGAGGTGGCACCTCATGGCTCCCTTTTCCCCCGCCTTCAAAGGAACCACAAAGGAACCACAAGGGAACCACAAGGGAACCACAATATAACCTCTGCTACTGAGAGAAGGCGATCAACACCGTCGCAGTTGCTGCTAACAGCCGGTTCTGATAAAAGCAAGCAGACAATGCTTCGCCACCTGAATCCGGTGTTGCTGGTAGAATAGCTAGGCTGGAATGTGGCGGGAGTTGTTGGTGTTTTCTTTGGTGGTGGTCTCATTTAAAAAGGGCTTGCAGGGAAGTCGGTGTCTTGGGGGTCCTTTGTGGGCAAGGGAAACGGGAAACCAAAAGGAACCGGTGTCTTCGTTCACTAACCCCGGCTTGGGGCCTATCCCCGGCCCGGCTTGGTTGATCTGCTGGGCGGCCGCATCCCCAATATCCCCAGTTACTTGGCGTCAGGGCTGCGTATTGGCCGTGATTTGGTGGCAGTTGGGAGTTGCTTTGGTTTAACCGGCCGCATCCCCAGCAGCACCAGCCGCGGGTGGCTTTGATTTGGTGGCAGCTCAGAGTTGCTCGGGTTTTTTTTCTTGTGAGTGTTAGGTCTTAATGAGGGCGGGTCTGATATCCCGGATGCTGTTGGGGGGGTTTACGGTTGACTTCGGATGGGGTTGGCTTGGAGCTGATTTGCGTTAGGTGTGCGGCTCGAGTAGCTTTTGGGCTGCTTCAGGGTGTGCTTATGCGGGTTAATTGGTTGTGGGGAGTTGGCGCACACCACCAAAACTAGCCCAAGACTCGTGCAGCCACATCCCACCTAAAGCCACTGCTAAACCAGCCGCACACCTAGCATAAATCAGCCCCAAGCCGATCCAAGTGCTCAACTTTTTCCCCTCCCAACAGCATCTCGTATATCAGCACTCACCCGACGTCGAGCAGAAAATACTGCCTGTTGCCAACCTGAAGAGTGAAGCAAGGCTTCCCAGCCAACCTCTGAGGCACATGAGGGAGTCCTTGTGAGCTGGGGCAAGTTCAACAAATCACACCCCACCCGAACCCAAAGGCAAAAGAAAAGGAAAGCTCACTCCAAACCGTGAGTGTTTTGAACGCCACTCCAGCCAACCCGTTTTTGTTTTTCTCGTGTTTTTTTTCTCTGGGGGGGGGGGGGGGGCTGGGGGAGGTCCCAGCCCCTTCGCCGATCCGTCGCGGTTTTTTCAGGTGCTGTCTCCCATCGACGAGGACGAGGAGCAGCTGCGGCAGCGGAACTTGGAGGAGGTCTCGCCGGGAGCCCAGGGCACAGGCCCAGCCAAGGCTTCCAGGCGCTTCCAGGCGGCCTCCTGGTTTCTTTGGCTCCCAGCCATCCGGTTCCTTAGCTTTTTAGATCCTTTTAGTGTTTAGTGGTGGTTTCCATTTAACCCACTAAAAGTTATTCACTTTTAGCAGGGGATCTGAGGGCAGCCTAGTTGTTTGTGGGGGGAACTTTCTAGGAGTCTTGGGGTTGGGCTTTGGGCTGGCTGATAGGTCGAAAACAATGTGGCAATGAACCGCTTCGGGGTCCACTTAAAGGACACCACCAGTTGGATGGTCATTCCATGTCCCATTCCCTGCATCTATCGCACCAGCAAGTTGTGTGAGTGTTTTTTTTCCCCCTTATGTAGCGATGTGCACAGACTACCCCGGTTTAGATGTGGCGTCTTTGCCAAACAAATCACGGGCTTTGATGAAAGCCGCTGGGGGGTCACTCTACGTTCCACAGGCCAGGGCCGACCACAGGTTCAACCATGTTCTTCAAGCACTGTCCGAGCACTGCACATTTGGTGTGGACCCATGGTGTTTTTTCTTCTGGCTGATCCCCCATTTGTTCAGCCATTCCGTTGAAAACCCCACTTTCCGGGGTTGCAAGTTTATGAAGAGTGTGGGATGCACAGCTTGACTTTTGTATTCCTGGTTGTGCCCATGTTTCCCTTCAAAGGAGTTCTATTTTCTTTGAGGCACCCCTTCCAGCAGTGCCGGTTAACAGCTTTCGAGATTTGCTTTGCTCCCCCTGCAGTCGTTCAAAGAGTGAAAAAGGCGAAGCTTCTCAAAAGGAAATGCCCATAACTTCAGTTGTTTGTTACGCTTCCAGAACAAACAGCTGCAGGGCTACAAAAGGTTGCCCAAGAGGAGATTCCTCTAAGAGGTTCGTTCTTTTTTGTTTTGTTTGTTTAAATGCGTTCCATGAAACCACGGTTGGGAAGAGGATAAACACTCCATGTTGTCTAGGCGCAGTTCACCTCAGGCCCGCCCACTCGGCGCGGGTGCGGGGCACCCACTCGGGCTGGCAGCAGCAGCTCAGCGACCGCCTCGCCAAAGAGAAGTGGGCGGGGGGGCCCAAGGTGCCCCGAGCGCCCCCCAGCCAAGCGGCCGGCGGATCGGCCCAATGCCTATACCACAGGTGTTTGCTTTGCTGGGGCGATAGGTGGGGAACTGTGCCTTGTTTCTGGAGGGGTGCCCCTTTCACAACAATATGATCCTACCAATTAACATGGAACCTGACAGGCACCCGGAGGACACCTGTATTCTGTACTGGGAGGGTATGCAAGAAAAGAACTGCCCCTAGCCTCTCCCATGACCAGGTGGTCAGCGACTCCATCCGAGTGGCCGCCCACGCCGCCATCCCGGTGCTCTCCTTCGCAGCGGCGCCCGAGGCGAATCGAAGAGAGGTTCGTAGGTGTCATTCGGTTTGGGCAGGATCTTGCTGGTGCGAGAGATGCAGGGAATGAGACCCCAAGAAAAGCTGTTGGATCATGCAACTGGTGGTTTTCTTTAAGGGGAGGGTTTATTTTCACATTTTCTACTGATCACCAGCAAGGGATGGGTTTCACTGATTTAGATTGGTTTTGGCCATCGACTTTGCCAAAAGGTGGAGTTTCCTTTCATGTTTCGCCCAGAAGCTGAAAAAGGTCCAAATCGTGATGCTAAATATTGGCAAAGGTAGAACTGGTCGTGAAGTTGAACTGGTGACGGTATTTAGGTGGGATTGATGTTTGAGGGGGTTTATGATGTAAGTTCAGCGCCACATGGCCATGGGTCAAAAGCCCGTACCCCCAGTGAACATCCAATGCTCACTAAAATAGGTTCTAAAATGGGTGGTGCACCTACCGACCAACATGGAATCCCAAAAAGGTTTCGACAACCACAGCCACATGTCCGATGCCAAACTGGAATTCCCCGGCCAACTTTATCGCTCGAAACGGAAAACCCCTCGGCCGCTCACAGAAAGTGGCCTGCCCCATGCCTGCCCCAAAACCAAAAGTGACATCCACAACCATATAGCTGTGGGTCAAAGCCAATGGTACCATGTTGGGGTTGGTGCACTACCCGTTTTAGTCTATTTGAGTGGGAATTGGGATGTTCACTGGGGGTACGGGATTTTGACCCACAGCCATATGGGTATGTGGACATAGGGACTTGGACCCCCAAACGGATTTTGGGGTTCTTTTGCGGTTTCCCTTTTAGCCAACCCCAGAAAGGGTACTCTCACAACACACAAACCCATAAGAGCGTATCAACATTGCCAGACTTAGCGCCCTTTCTAATTCTGTGGGGTTGTCCATCCCTTACCAGCAAGATCCTCCGTATCAAGTCGACTCCTGCACGGGCAGGTGAAGCGTGTGAGCAGTGAGAGCGAGCAGTTCATGCCCTGCCGGAGTGCTCGGACCAACCTTGGAAGGAGTCCCTTGAGGTTTCTGCAGGCTTGAACAGGGTGTGCCTTTCCTTTTCTTGCTGGTGCGATAGGCAGGGAATGAGGGAGTCAACCTGGGGATTCCCTTAAAGGAAGCCACAAAGAATGGTTTATAGGGGTTATCCCCTCATTCCCTGGTGAGCCCTTCAGACCTGAATTGACTGGCCAGAGAAAGTATAAACTTGCGGACCAACCAACAAAACGTTTTTCAAGTTTGCCAACTCTGATAAGCCAAGATGAACACTTCACGAGGTGCTAAACCATTTGTTGGGTGTGTTTCTTTTTGGGGCACCCCCAACATGGTGTCGTTGGATTAGAATCCTTTCTGAGTGCCATGTGATTTGCTAGCCGAGATAGATTGGGCAGTACTACTTCTTGCAGGAATTGTTTTGAAGGAAGACGCGCAGCAATGCATTGCCGTTTTTGGCTTGTGCTTGTTCAATGCTGTTCTGCCGGTCATTTTTGGCGATATGCGGGTGGGATTGATTCGTCGATGTGTCCTCATTTTGGTGTGAGCAGGAGCAACAAATAGACACTTGGGGTGTTTTGGGCCGCCCGGATCATTGTGACTGATTCACACTGCATACAATACCCTCGTCATTTGGTGATCGCACTCTTGGCCTGGATTCCAGTACACATTTATGGGGTCGATCAAATGGGCTTGGAGCGGGAAGTTCCTCACCCGTTGTTTTCAGGGGTCTTTTGCAACCAGCAGTTGGGATGTGTCAAGGACCCCAACCAATTTCCGGCTTTCTTTTGGTTGAGCAGAAAAAGGTGATCAAAAAGGGGGTGATTGGTTTTCCTTGGTCGCTCCTTTGACCAAAAAGGGGGGGGTTGGTCGGTTTTCCCTGCGTTCTGAGAAAGGCGAACACTTCCATTTGCTGAAATGAGTGTGTGTTATTTTCCCCTGGTCTTAGAGTTGACATCTATCACTCTTGCATACATTTCTATTTTTTTCTAGAAGCCTTAGGCAAATGACACATATTTTTATGTTTTCCCCGGGACCGATTTTCCCCGCACCTGGGGGAAAAACGGCTCGCCCTCCCAGCGCGGGGGCCTAGGTTCCACTCGGGTGGACATCTGTCTGCACGATGCCGGGCACAGGGGCCTGCGGAGCAAGGCGCGGGGCCGAGCGGCCGAGGGCCCGCCGGAAAGATCCGGGGGGGCATTTTTAGGGGACAAAAGCCCCAAGCACCCCACCCGGCCTGGATTTTGGTGTTGGTTTTGGTTTCCCTTCAACCCCAAAAAGGGCAGCGCCCGTCTTTACACTGGGTCAGGTTGGTTCATTTGGGTCTGGGCCCCTGTGGGGTGAGGGTGGTTTAAGCAGATGTTGCTCAATCTTGCCGGAAATATTGGGTTTCCCCTCGCTACGACTCATCATCTGCCCGTCTCCAAAGGGGTGGGGAGCACGTTGCAAGGCCGTTTTGCGGGTTTTCGCAATAACCACACGTAGGGCTTTGTGCTGGATGTTTCGATCACAACCAGAGGGGGAACATTCGGCCAGCACACTCCTGTTGCCCTCTAGATTGATGGTATTCCCTGGTGACCTATTGTATACTGGATTCCTTCGGAAGCGCGGCCTGGCAGCATTGCACAGGCACTGATCAACTTCCTGCTGAATCGCTACCCCTTGGCGAGGTCGGCAGACAGTCAGACGCATGGGGGAGGGAGGGGTGGTGGAGGGGGAGATTTTTCAGCTTGATTTCACGATTGAAAGAAGTCCAATGGTGAGAACGCCTCGACTTGGCTGAGGGTAGACTTAGGATACATGTAGCATGTTGCTATGGAGAGTAAAAGGAAACTAAAAGGAGCTTGTTCACACAAGGAGCCCGGCTGGCAAGATGCGACGTGCCCACCACAAAGCATTGAACGGTTCACCACATGTGTCGTGTTGGGATGTGAGCTTCGATTCTTCCTGGCGCCTCTGGGTTTACATATTTTTTGATTTGCAATCCCCTGATCGCCTGTGACGCATGTGGGCAAAACCCTTTAAGGATTGCAGCTGTCCAATCAGAGGACAGCATGAAGCACATCAGCTCGGGGACTGTCAGATTCTCGAGGCTGCGAACCCCCCGTGATCTTCACGATTCAGATTTCTCAGACTCTTGGTCAGATTGCTCAATGTCAGCTTGTGTTTTTTTGTTCCTGATGTTGCATCTTGTGTGTTCCAGACATTCACTGAACATAGATGCTGCAATTGCACTGGTACAGCTCCTCCCTTTTTTTGAATTCGGGATTCTTGAGGGGTGTATTGAAGGCACAGGGAGCGTAGCAAATAAATTGGTTGTGCTGTGCAAGCTGCTCAGAGACAGGCCCAGATTGGTTTGTTCTGATTTGACACTGTCAGCAGTATGGATCGGAGTTGCGTAGTCCAACAAGATGGCGGCCCGCATGTGAACGAGCCGTGCAGTCAACACTCGGATGCAAGAGCCGTCGTCGTGTAGTTGTTTCTGTCGACAACGAGCTGCCTTGAAACGATTTACAAGTGCAGCTTGCCGAATATGCCCGTACAAGTATTTGCCGCCAGGTTTTCCACATCACGGAAGGGCATGATCGGGTCGCTCTTTCCGGCAACAACCCGACATGGGACCTTGTTCCTTGTCTGCCCAAAGGATCTTGAACAATCTTCTGCACTGTTGCCTTTCGGCTTTAGCCCACTGCCCGCGGCATTCGGCAAAAGACAAGTGACTAGCATGGCATCGCGCGTGCTCAAACTGGGCTTGGCTCTGACCAGCTGCTGCTTCGTGAACTTGTCGGCTCCAAGAGGCCAGATTCTTGTCCTTCTTGTTTGGGAGGGTTGAAGGAGGCTTGAGTTTCAGCTTTTTCTTGGGAGGGGGTTTTCCCATCTAAACTTAACCAGAAAGGGGAGGTGCCCTGTTTTTCCCCACACGCCTCAGGTCTAAGAGATGTGTCGCCTGCCCGACGATGTGCGCGGAAGACCCGGAAGATGAAGTCTGTGTTGATGCCCAAGGACCCCGGCAGCTCGCTAAGAGAAGCTCAATTCGACTTGGCCCGAAAGGTGATGGTTAAAGTCACAAGGGGAAAGCTAGGGAGCTCCGTTGGACACTTGTTCCCTCTAAGATCTACCAACAAAAAGGGATGGGGCCGTTGTCCTGCGGGCTGAGAAGTGCAAGCAGCTTTGTGTGAGAAGAATCTTGCAATCATGTTCTGCAAGAATTGACTTGTGGTTTTGGTGGATTTCTGGGGATCGTGGCTCAGAGGCTTGGAACACCTGGTAAGATTTGGCTTGCATTGGGCTCCAGACATATTCACCAAGTTTGGAGCATGTGCTCCGAGCCTCTCAAAGATGGATAGGGCATTTGGTTTCCTTCGGTTTCCCTCACGGACAGAGTTTCTACCCTGCCTTGTGTCAGGGGGCTTTGGAGCGATTTTGAATCAGGCAGGTTGTTCGACCGTCCGCAGGAGCAGCAGCAGAGTGGACTGCGCAGCGGCTCGGAGCATCGTCGCAGCGGGCCAGGCCAGTTTGATGGAGGTGACTCGGAAGCGATGGCAGAGGAGGCTCTTGCAGAGGCAGGGCTCTTTGAACACAAAACGCGAGGACCTGGTGGAGTATTGGGGTAAACCCATTTTTATCTTTGTTAGTTTTGACTTGTCACTGAGTATTTCCCTCAATTAAGAATATTACCGTGATCTGGACGCATTTTGCTTTCACAATTGTCCCACCTCCCCATTCAACTTATGTTCAGACTTTTATTTTTGGGTCGGAAAGCCGATGCTTTCGTTTGGGGCAGCCCTGGTTGCGGAGCTCCGTTGCGATGGTTTCGGAGATCGGAGATTGTTGGGCTTAGTTCGTTCAGCCCTGAGAGGCAGAGCGCACAGGGCTGAAGCTGGACAAGAAGTTTCCCACGTTGACGATGAGGCCAGCAAATACTGTGCCTCACTATCATTTGTATGTGTATATATATATATATATATGGGCGACGGTCAAAAACCCATGTAAACATTTAGTAAGGAGCATATTCATGTGTTCTGGCGCTGCTCGCGCGAAAGGTCGCGAGTGGGCAACGGAAGGTTTGGCGAAAGGGCTGGCCACAATGATGATAAAGGATGCTGATTTAGCACTCTGAATGGTGTGAACATTTTTTCAATGCTTTAGAAATAGCTTTTGGACTGTTGTTTATGCCATATGTGCCCCTCGCGCCTGCATGTTGGCATGCCGTTGTTGGGGGTTGCCCAAAAGCTATTTCGGCCAAGGCCAAATAACATTTGGGCCTGTTTCGGGGCTGGTCCACAAGATGCAAATCAGGGCACCCCCAAAACCTGTTTTCGGCACTGGAAAATAACATTTGCGCAGGTGTTGGGTTGGTTTGCAGGCCAACCAGCCAAAAGTGCCCAAATGAGTCTTTTCCTTGAAGATGTGTGCATGTGTGGATGGATGGATGGATGGATGGATGGATGGATGGATGGATGGATGGATGGATGGATGGATGGATGGATGGATGGATGGATGGATGGATGGATGGATGGATGGATGGATGGATGGATGGATGGATGGATGGATGGATGGATGGATGGATGGATGGATGGATGGATGGATGGATGGATGGATGGATGCGTGGGGGTGGGTGGATGGATGGATGGATGGATGGATGGATGGATGGATGGATGGATGGATGGATGGATGGATGCGTGGGGGTGGGTGGATGGATGGATGGATGGATGGATGGATGGATGGATGGATGGATGGATGGATGGATGGATGGATGGATGGATGGATGGATGGATGGATGGATGGATGGATGGGGGGTGGGTGGATGTATAGGTGTGTGGATGGACGGATGAGAATACAGACCAGGGCGCACCCAAAACCTGTTTTGGGCAGTGGAAAATAACATTGGGGCAGGTTTCGAGTTGGTTTGCAGGCAACCAGCCAAAAGTGTCCAAACGTGTTCAATTCAGTCTTTCCTTGAGAATACACAGACTAGGGCACCCCAAAACCTGTTTTAGGCATTGGAAAATAACATTCGGGCTGGGTCATTGGTTCCCAAAGCAGGCTTTCGACCCATGTGCGCCCCACTGTGGGCGCGAAAGAAAGCGCAAGTTTCGCGAAAGGGCGCCGGAAGGCAAAAAAAAACAAAATAATTTCGACCAACGCCCATATATATTGCAAACGGTTGTTTGTTTAGGGGGTAATATGTATATATATATATACATACATGTGTATGTGTAAAGCGGTTTTCTCGGTTGGTGCCTTGTTTGGGTTGGGTTCTTCAAAAAGGAAGCCAAAGTCAAGCCACCGTTTTGTTATGGGGTCCCTTCCTTGCACAGATATCCACATGGGCCCATGGTCAGGAGGCAACCGCCCCGGTTGCGTCAAATTAAATGAAACATGGGTGGTTCAGGCTGGACGGTCCTCAGTTGTAAGGGTTTCTGTTGAGGAAGCAATGATTCTCTGCCATTTTGGGTGCCAACGATACCAAAGCACAGGTGGACCAACAAGGATGTGATCCAGTACATGCGCCACCATCCTGGCCCATGGGGTGCAGTGGAGTTCCAGACCTACTCGGGGTCTAGCAACACGCCATTCCTCTTGGCATCCAAGCAAGTTCACTTCGGCGGCGGGCGCCTGGTGTCCTAGAATTTTATCAAGCCGACAGATCCCAAAGAGGTGGTGCTAAAAGGCTTCGTCCGCAAGCTCCGGCATTTCATGCTGGTGTGTGGCGTTGGTTTCAAGAAGGTTTGACAAGCGTCGGATGTGGGAAGGGGAAGGTTTCCGCTGTGATACCAGGGAACCTCCTCTTTCAATGGAGAACGACCCATTTTGAAGGCCTGCTACTGGTTTCGTCTAAGTGGTCGCGATTCCTGAAACATTGGCTTTGACTTACAAACCATCTCACTGCAAGAGTTTGCGCGACCTCGAAAACGGCGACCTTGAACACGGCCCAGAATGACGGCTTTTGCGAGGTATCCCTTTTGCAGTGACCTGCTGAGCTTGCCGGATGCACTCACTGGGACTCCATCATCGCGACAGAAGCTCAAACACCTACTCATGAGTGGTTAGTGGCACGTCACGGTCCCAAGCATTCTGTTGCACTAGCAGGTCCCTGCGGACAAAATCCTGTATCATTGGGGTTCTGACGGGATAAACCGACCAACTGGTGCCGGATTTTGTCCATCAGCGTGGTAGCCCCCCCCACCCCCGCTTCTCAGAAGCCGCTAGGTTCTCCGGCCGCACCTTGTGCTGGGTTTGAGTTGTAAGCCATGTGCACTGGCCAGCGTGACCGAGTGCGCCGAGTGGACCTGGCGACAACTGAGCTTGCAGTTTCCGACTGATTGGCACAAAAAGTTTGGAAGAACACTTGAAGCGAGAGTCGGGCAACTTTGAGCAGTTTTGATGCAATCCTTTGGTTTGCTACTTCGGGTTGGTCCATGATTGGGCTGCTTTAAAGACACGGATGAACCCTGCACGGCCATTTGAAAGACGCCGCGCAGGACGCAAAATCATCCGTGCCTGTTCTGGAGCCTGTGGCGCAGAGCCACAGCCAAAACCAAGTCCCCTGATAAGGTTGCCGGGTATGAAAACGACACCAAACTTCCATTTGTTTAAGAATATGTTTTACCCCTGTTGGTTGTAAAAGGAGTCAATCACTACTGGACATATCCTTTTTTAGCTTAAGTTCTTTTTTTCCGCAGCTGCTAAGCTGCTACCCTGGTCTGGGAGGTTCTGGACGAGGGTTGCATGAGACTTCCCTTGCTTTAGGCTTGCCGCGGAATGCTTGCTCTGACACATCCATGAAACGTGCCCACACATGAATTCGGCACGGCTGGTTCAGCTATGTTCGGCTCGTGCACCGCTGACATGTTTGAACACACATGTGAGATTTGGTCAGACTGTTCAGCTCCGTTCAGTACTAAATGTCTCACGACATTAGAGGACTGATCATTATTTTGATCATGTCCTCTTGAGAAGACTAGCAAGTAATTTGGTGCCTTCTCTGGGCCAGTGTGATGTCACTCTGTGTCAAGTCCCTAGCGGGATGCGTGGCGAATTGCAGGGAAATTCCGCTTCCACTTGCTGAGGAACTGATTGTCCCGTGTTGGCCGATTCCGGGGCTGGCATAACTTCATATGAGCAAAGCAGCTAGGGCATGACCATTTACCCACTTAACGAGCAACGTTTCGAATCACCAGCCAGATAGTGTTCCTGGTTTCTGTTCTTCGGAAGTAATTGGCTCAGGGCGGCCTCCCTGGCCGTGTGAGTCTGGGTAAACATCCACATTCGACATAGGTGCCAATGGCTGTTCTCAGTGTTTCCAAATTTGGTGTATGCTCTGTTTGGGTAGGGGTTTAAAGGGAAACTGAGCTCAGTCCTTCCAGTTGGCCCCGGCAGGCCAGTGACTCTGGTGCTGAAGCAGTGGCTTATTGCCAGGGCCTATGGCGGTTCACGGAATGTTCGACATTTGAATGGGCGATGAAGGCCGCTTGCGAAGGGAAGGCGATCACAGATTCTCATGCCCAGTCGGATCCCAAAAAGGGGGCAGGGGTGCCCGTTGGGTCCCGCTTGTGACTTGTTTGGCCGAGCCGGGACTATCCGGCGTGCGTCTGACAACTGAAAATGGCTACGGGCTGGTTGAGGGGCAACGATTGGCACGCTTGATCTGCGCATTTGAGGCCAGTTTAAGCCAGCCATCTTTCCAGTATCTACATTAGCTAGATTACATGCATAAGATCGTTTTTTTTCTTTGGTGGACATTTGATGGCACTGAGTCTGAGTTCAGTGTGTGGATCTAATCATGTAGCAGTACCAGCAGCTACTTAGTCTACTTTTCCAAAGGGCCACCTCGGATGATACGGCAATCCTGAACCTGTTTACCACGAAATCTGTGCGGCTTTACTTGCCATCATGCAGATGTGCAGCCACTCATTGAGTTTGCTTTTGCTTCAGAGGTTTACTTCAATATAAATATAAAGCAGATGTCGGTGGGAGAAGTACACGAGTTCTTGAAAGGTGAACGGCCATCCAGAGACGTGCCATCAGCAACTCATGACGTGCCAACCCAGGTTTCCCACAATCAATCACCAATGCCCAGCCCCAAGCGCTGGGGAACAAACAAAATCCGGAGCCATGGGGGCCTCCCGTGGGTCCTATTCCTGAGGGTCCCGATTGATTTTGGGCCCTCGCAATTCGTGCTTTTCAGGGCCCTTGAGGAATTGGTCGAGGTTCTTCACTTGCGGGTCCGGGGGTCTCCATAGGCATGACCCTTAATGTCCTCAACACGATCCGGGCTCAGGAACAGGCATACTCCATGTCCCACAGCGGAGGGCTCTGCTCCTATGGCCTTCTTCTGCCCGGGCGCCCAGTGAGGTTCAAGCGCGCGCCGCGATCGTTTTTTTTTTTTGGCAGTTGTCTTGTTTCTTTTGTTGAGCGGGGCAAGACATGTTCAAATTGTTTCAGTCAGCTGTTTACCTTTCGGGTCACTGAAGAACTTTGTATGCCTGCAAGTGGCTCCGTTTGTGAAAAATGTCCAGCTCACCTTCGGGGAAAGAACGATGGAACACCCGCGATGCAAGCCTTGGGTCTTGCTTTCTTATTCCGGCCAGTCAGACGGTTGAACCGTCTTTCGTTGGGGGACCAGCAACATGGTGGCTTTCCTTCTGGTTTGCTTTTAGAACCACGAAACGGGGCACCCTCAAGACACACCCAGGTGCGATGGGTGGACCTACCCCAAAATGGGATCCCATTGGTTTTGACAACCACAGCCAGGTGCTTTACAAACATCGGGATGCGGCTCGCACTGAACTCCGAGCTCACAAAAACAGCAAACTGGGCATCAAGCTTGAGCGCACCTGACTTCATGCCAGTCCAGCGATGCGAGGGTCCAAATGGAAGACGTTTGAGCTTTCAGAACCCATTGCCCCTGAAAGCTTCTTGCCAAGTTGGAGAGTGCCCTGGGCAGAGGTGTCCTTTTTTGGTTAGTTTGGTTAGTTTAGTTATAACATAGATTGGAGTGGTTTGGATTGGTTTCTTCCATTTACCAGGCCCGACGATTTTGTCCAAAAGGCCACATGGTCCTGGGTTTTGGCTGGAGCTGGTTGCCGGATGTTGCCGGTGCCTGACAAACGGTATACTTCCATTTGTTTACGAATATTTGTTTATTGTCCCCTGTTGGTTTTAAAAGGAATCAAACACTACTGGAAAAATATGTATTCATTTTTTCCCCAGGGGGCTTAAGCAAATGGAAGTATGCCCTGAAAACCTCCACCTGCATGGGTCAAGCGCTGAGGATGGTCATTGCCTACCTGCAGTACCGTCCCGCCAACACCGCGGCCACGGCTGGATCCCCAGGACCGACATCGGACGACAGGAAACGAGGAAACGAGGAAACGAGGACGCGGGGCGGGAGATCCACCAATTTCCCCCGTGCCCTTGTACAGGGCTCCTTAAAAGATACATTTTGCCCATTTGAAACATGGCTTTTTCCACCAAAATAAAGGGAAACCACCATTTACAAGGCAATGTTCAGGTGTATAATGTAAGGATCCTTGTTGTATATTGTCTCATCAATTTGTGGTTTTTCGGAAAATGCATTTTCAGCTTGCCTGCTGCTTTTATCCCAAGTCCGAAATCCCAAGTCCTGTCCAGCAAGCAGCGGTTGGGGGGGGGGTGCTGGTCTGGCTATGTTGAAATTCGCGCTGTATTAACCCATCAGAACTCGCAAGGGAAATCGGGGGCAGCCAGGACTCAGGACTTCCAGGGCCCAAATTGCTGGGGTCATTATTTTCACGGTTCCTGGGGGTTGTCAACGCCAGTAAATGGGGTCGTTTCCCTTTAACCCACCAAGGGGGTGACGTTGATCATGGTAAAATTATTAGACGGCCACGGCCCATTTCGGGGGCGGATGGGCGGATTGGCGGATTGGCGGATTGCGGCTCCGCATGCCCCGGGTCGGTTTTGGTCCTGTCATAGGTGCCCGTTTTGGTGGCTTTGCTCGAAAAGTAGATGGCGATTCCTGGATTACCTGGTGGTTTCATCATCTACCAGGGCCATCTAGTTCCCCTAGAAGGACACATATGATTCCTGTGTGTCTCAAAGCTAGCCCCAAGCTTGGCTTTGCCTCAATGGTCCGGACTGGCGGCCATGTTGGGCACGCCCCTAGATCTGTCTTATCCAACTGTTGCTCCGAGTCCAACGTTTCAGACTCAGGGAAAGGCGAATCGCATGGATGCTTCGACAATCCCTTATGAGCTTGCTCATGCCACAAGTGTCAGACTCACGATGGTTGCCCAACTTTCTGTGAGCAGGTGGTTTCAGTTGTTCAAATTCTCAGCACAGCAGCGGCAATGACATATCAATAATCACGCTGATGCTGGTATTGAAGATGTTACTGCTAGCAATGATAAACATCATGATGCCACGGGAGAGAAGTTGTTGGGCTGGGGTGACTCTAAGAGTTTCTTCATTGAGTTGTGTTCAGATGAAACGCATTTGAGCTGTTGAAGCCGTGGCAACATGCTTGCACCTGCCTCTTCCGACTTTCATTCTGTGTCGAAATAGTCGGACCCTTCCCCCCCAAATACTCCTCAAACCTGCGCCCTGTCGGGAAATCAGCTATAAGAGCAAACATGGCAAGCCATGTA